TCAAAAAATTATATATATTAATGAATCATAACTCAAAGGTTGTTTAATCGGCTAATATAAATGCATATTTTTGCCTCAAGATTTGATTAATGGTAATATTAGCGTAATATTTTCTTAATAAAAACGTATATCAAATAAGGTAAAATAAAAAATTTATAAAGATTTTTCTCTTCTAAAAAATTATCAAGTAATTTTTAAATAAAATTTATTAAACATCTATAAGATAGACTACTATATATTTAACTATTTATATTGAAATAAATATAATTTTAAATTTAATGTCATAAAAAATCATTGTTATAACCAAACTCTTTTTCTTAATATATCTAACTTTTTAGTAGAATATATGCTCTATCACCCAAAGATCTTTTACTGCAGTGAAAAAAAAAAATTCCACGTAGACATCTTGTTTTTGTTTGGTGGAGAAAAAGTTTTAAATGGAACCATTTCATCAATATGGTATGAGGTGAAAAAGTAATAATAGTTTTGTTGCTATTGCAAGTTTAATGATGATAATTATGAGATTTGATTGACAGATTTAACTTGTGTTCTTTTTAAGTTATTTTTTTAAAGTGTTTGGTATCTTAGTGTTTAAATTAATTTTTAGATGTTAATATAGCATTTTATAAATAGTTAACTCATGTAACATTTAACTTTTAACATTTTATAAAATACTACTAAAATAAATAATGGCTAAATATTACTAAAATAGTCAACAGCGACTAAAATAAGATCAACAGATATTTAAAGAAAAGTCCACAAGCTAAATCTAATTAATATTAAGCACTTTGTGATTAAGATTATGGGCTTAATTAACTATTTAATTACTTGGAAGCACTAATTGAGGCTCACTAGATGACAAAATTCTGGCTTTCTTGAGTGGGGGAGCAATCAAGGGAAGTTGAAGTTGATGAATAAGAGAAAATTTTTCCTTTTATTTTTTTTATTTTTTTGCTTCTTTCTTTTTTGTGCTTTGAGACCTTTTTGGTCTGGCAAAACCTACTTGTAATTATAGTTAGTCACATAAAGTGTGTTCCAATAATCATTTCATGTTTTTCATTTTAATCATTTGGTTTGACATTAGTAGCTTTCTTACTTTCTTTTATAAAATTAATTTCATGTTGGGTCTAGAATACCAAAACTCTTAGCATTTCAATTTCAGATTCCATAATTTATTCATCAAATATTAGTGAATTTTAAAATAATAAAGTGAAATTAAGAAAAGAAAAGAGAAAACCCTTTAATCTTTATTTTGCCACTCATAGAATATAATATGATATAATTAATAATCATATAATTTGCATATTATTTTAGCTCAGAATTTAATTTAAGTCTTCATATGATGTATTCAAAAAACTTATTTTCTGAAATACTTAATAGTAACATCAAACCTAATTGATAAAAAATAACAAACTTTTATTCTAATTAGTAATCACTCCTTAGAAGTATAAGTACATAACCATAGGAATCCAATTTGCAGCTAAGCTTCCATCTAATCTTGCTCTGAACGAAAGCTGTGTTCGCAACAGCTTTTTAAGTAGCCAAGTCAAAACGCTATAAAAAAATCTTCTACATTAACAGCTTTTAAATGTTAATATAGCGTTTTATAAAAAGTTAATTCATATAACTTTTAGGTTTAGCGTTTTATGAAAAACTACTTAAATAGCTAAACACTATTAAAATAATTAACTACTATCAAAATAATTAATTTTGCCGAACAAACTTGTAAACAGTAACAATAGAACAAAAGTTATAAACATGAAAAATATTAGAATCCAACTCAATTTTTCTAGACATTGAGCGCAATACATACTTATCTAAAAAGTAGTTTTTTGAACAATTATAATCCTAATTTGCACTGAAAAAAAAGAGTGAATTTTTCTGACAAAAGAATAAAGTATAATTGTTAATATTTTAAATTGATATTATTGTTGTTTATTATTAAAATTAAAATTTATTATTCGATTAAAAATAAAAAATAATAAAAAATTTTATTTTATTATTTAGTTTGCTAATATAACATGTTATATTAAATGTAATAAATTATGTTTATTCTTTGTAGAATAAGTTACATGGGAAAAAAATTATAACAAATCAAATTGAAGGTTTATTAAAAGTAATAATTAAACATATTATATTTTTAGTGTATTTATTATGTATCTTATGTAGCACAATATATCCAATCAAAATTAAATTACTTTTACTTTTCAATCAATAAAATTAAAATTCTTAAACATATTATATTCTTATAACATTTAATATATATCTTATTAGTATATAATATAATTTTTTAATTTATCCAATACAATTTAGATTCAAATAGTAAATTAATATACAAATTAAAATTAAATTACTTTTATTTTTTATCAATAAAATTAAAATCCTTAAAGATATTATATTCTTATCATATTTCATATATATAATATAATTTTTTATTTCATTTAATAAAATTTAGATTTAAATAGGATATTATATGACCAATCAAAATTAAATTGCTTTTATTTTTTCAATTAATCAAATTAAAATCTCTAACTTTATTTTTGTCAATTTATAATTTAGTAAGGATGTTTCTAGCGATCTTAATGTTCTCCCATTCATTCTCATTTTTATATATATTACCTTCATCTCTAATGGATAGACACACTTTAATTTTTTCGTTTGCCTAATACTATAGCTCACTCACAATTTAAATAAATTAGTTAATATGTTAAATCTCTATTATACCCATATTTATTATTATTTTTTAAAAATAAATTTCTTATTTTACCAATTACTTTTTATTTTCCAATACTATTATTTATTTACAATCACTTTAAAAATTAAATATTTACAAATTTAATCATTTTCAACGCATATTAATTAATTTTAGATAATTAATTAATTTTGACTGATGAAAAAATCAATAATAGATTAATGAGTATATTTCATATTAAAGTAAGAGTATAATAAAAAAATACATATAAATTTATATTTTTAACTAAAATAATTAATTTTTCTTAATTCTTGTGAAATAAAAAAAAAACTACTTACCAATGGGGCACAAATGGAGTATATTATTATAGATTATAGATTTATTGAGACAATGAAGTTTCTTCTTCAATGTTATTGGTGCAAAAAATAATTAATAATAATAAAAAAAAAAAAAAAAAGAGCGGCCCATGTAGAAAGGGATCTATCTCTTTTTGTCTTTGGACGGCATGAAATATTGGTAGGCAAAATCCTTACGAAGCTGTGACCAATAACGCTGCTTTAATAATTGCCTCTCACCAAACTTTCTCCTCTTCTTGGAATTTGCTCATTGGCCCTTCCATTTTTGTTTCTCTCGTCCAAAACAAAATTAATTTACTATTTTTTATTCAACAAAAAATATTCTATTTGATTATAATAATACATTTTCATTTTCATTTGGTACAACTTAAGTTGTTTTATCATGTTTATAAAATGTCAAATTTTTAAAAATTACTTGTAATATTTTGTGCAAGTTAAAATTCACAATCTAACTAATGACATCTTTAATTATATTATCTTAATTAATCTAAAATTACTTTTTTTTTTCTGATTTGTCTCTTAGTTGGGGTTATTAATAACCAACTATTATAATAAAAACAATTAATTTTAATACTTATATGATCAATATAAATAATAGCATGCTACTTAAGTATTTATTTTAAGAATTTAAAAGTATTAATCTGACAATAGCGCGTAAATATTTTTATGATAGAATTTATATTATCACTTTTGCGGATATTGAACTCGTTCATCACTCCGACTAATACATTGTTAGTTGGCTGAATGTTAATTAAGTATTAGTAATGAATACTTGTGTGTACAGAGAATTTGAAATATCTTCAACTTCTTAAAAGATCAGAAAGATATGCAAAGCCAATACCTAGAGGACCACTTCCTTTTTATGCAAAGGAAATCACAATCAACGTTGAAAATTTTTTTCTTGGACAAAATTAACATTCTGACAGTCCCATTCGCTACCAGTGAATGAGATCCTGCAAAGCTTACAAGCCAAAAAAAAAAAAAAAAAAAATTATGCAAAGGAAATCAAAACAATCAACGTTGAAATTTTTTTCTTGGACAAAATTAACATTCTGACAGTCCCAATCGCTACCAGTGAATGAGATCTGCAAAGCTTACAAGCCAAAAAAAAAAAAAAAAAAATGCTTCTTCTTTTTTGCTTCTTTTGTTTTAAAAAAAAAAAAAAAAAAAAAATCTTCTTCTTTTTCTTCTTTTGTTTTGAATACAAAATTTACTAATTTTCACTCTTCCTTATGCTAAGCTTCGCTTGGAAGGCTTGTAATAACTCCTTTTTAGTTCAAAAATACTATTTAGTGTTTTATTTTATAAGCGAAATACATATTATATATACAAATATGCGAGGTTTAATTTATTGAATGTCAAATTGACATCTAGCAAACATGCATAAAATTAATCTCTTCTGTTAATAACGATTTTCAAATAAAATACTTAACCGTATGTCTACATTTCTTATTTATCTTATAAAAATATTACAATATATTTATAAAAATAAATATAAGAATGTAAACAACTTATAAAATCAACAGAAGCAATGATTATTATTTAATAGTCGCAAATTAAATTTACTTTTTTCACTATACTTTTAAAAAAATAGCACTTTTATAAAGATTTTGTTTGATAAAATTATTTATTTTAGTAATTATTAAAGCATTAATATTTCGTTCTTAAATTTTAAATATTATTATAAATATTTAGGCTACCAACACTTTAAATAATAGAAATCTCAAAACACTGACAAAAAGTTCGGTAAAAAGCTGTAAAAAAAATTACATGCAATAATAAAAGAAAAGCTCCAAGTTTAAGCAGGAAATAAAATCCAAAGCAGATCTAAATCAGACTAGCCAAAACATAGTAGAGCAGAAAATGATTATTGTTCTGTATATTATTATTGAGACTAAAACAGTACAGGGACACAAAATTTTTGAAAAAAAAATAGAAAACAAATACACTTATTATCAAACTGTTTACAGAATTAAATATAGACAGTATTCCATTTTTCCTAAACGCTTGGTAGTGCTGGGTGGTGGTTACTGGTGACTGGTACCTGCAATTCTCAGAAAATGCCACACCTCTTATTCTCTTCAATCGAGGTGCTTCCTCCTTTTTTTGATCCTTCATGGAGATCCATCAATACCCAAAAGCCCATAATCTAAAATATCCTCTCCATTTACTAAAAAAGTAGCCTACTTTCACACTCAAATCCCTCCACCATTTTCATTTCTTTGCTTAAAGATCCCTCTCTCCTTCTCTTTTAACAGTTAACACCCTCTCAAGATAACACACAGGTTCTTTCTCTCTCTTCTTTGTTGTTCTTGTTTGTGCGTGAATGTTAATTCTTGACCTATACTCTTAACTGCTTAAAGTTTCAATTTTTTTGGAGTTACATTATGGACTGACAAGAAAGTTTCCTTTTTCTAGTTTGATGAAGTTACTGTTTTTTATAATCAAGATCTGGGTTTTGTCTGCTTGATTCGTGCATGTAAGTTTGTGCAGATCTTTGGTAAATACTATCTTGAATATCATATTTGTTCCAGATCTAAGGCTTCATCCTCCAATTTTCTTGCCAGGAGGATTCTCGTTTTTGCTTTATTTAAATCATTTCAAATGTATGACTCTCGTTTCACCTTTTTTTTTTTACCACCATTAATTTGTCGAGTTTCTGTTTCCTTGTTTCTTGTATCAAATTGATTCCTAGCATCCTTGATCTGAGTTTTTCTGTTGAGTTTGCCTGTCAATTCAAGCAAGGGTCCGGTAAATCTTGGTCATAAACTAGGCTGTTTGTTTGTCAGTTATGGGTTCAATTTATTGGGCTAGAACTAAATTTGGGTATTTAGAGATGGACAATGTCGTTAATGCGGGTATATGGGGCTGGTTATCATTGTGGTGGTTTTGATGGTAGTAAGCTTAATTTCAAATTTTCAAAAGCTTGGGCTGAGTATACTTATTGTCTAGAAAGAATAGAAACTGTGATAAAAGTAGTTAATTTTGAAGGAGCAAGCGCTTGTGCTCCATTATCCTTGCAACTAACCAACGTGAGTCGTGACATTGTTTAATGTACTTAAATGTTTCAATGTCTTTATGTTCTCAAGCTGCTATTTCCAATAATGGATTCATAGTGGGATTGGATGCTTTGGCCTCACGATGTTCTTGTAGTCCGAGCCCCCTGATTGGTTTAATTTGTCTGGTTTCAACTTTGTCCTATTCAACCGATCCTGGTTGCTTCATGTCACTAATTACTAATGTGTGCATGAGTCTTGCACTTTAACTGTTTACATGCTAACTTGCTAAGAATACCAGAAATAGATAAATGTCTATTGTTTGTTTCTTACCCTCTTGCTGATGCAAAGACACAAAGAGCTTTCTTGGTCCTTCGCTCTACTGGATAATTGCACTGATTCAATTCATGTAACTGATGTAGGTATATATCTGCTGAAAGTTGCTGCATTTCCGCCATGCTTAAACAGATTTTAAGCAAAATCCCAAGGAAGTCCTCAAAATCTGATCCATTGGATTCTGATTCTGGAAACAGTTCTACCAATTGGGGGAACGGAATCCCATGTACCAACAGTGGGAATTCTTTTTCGAGTCGATTAAATGTTGTCAAAAGGGTATCTTCAGCAGTCTTCCCTGCAAGCATTATGTCTGGGGCAGAGGCAGTGGAGCCTCACCTATCCTTCAAAGATGTTTCAAACATGCAGAAGCAGAACCTTTTTGTTAGTAAATTAAACTTTTGCTGTGAGGTTTGTGATTTTAGTGATCCAGATAAACTTGCTGCTCAGCAAGAGCTTAAACGTCAGACACTGATGGATCTTGTTGATTTTGTTTCTTCTGGATCTGCAAAGTTTACTGAATCTGCAATGGCTGCAATGTGTAAGATGTGTTCAATGAACCTATTTAGGGTATTCCCCCCAAAGTGTCGTTCCAATAACACAGGTGGAGAAACTGAGGATGAAGAACCAATATTTGATCCCGATTGGTCATATTTACAATGTGTGTATGATCTACTACTGCGTTTTATAAATGCTGTTGATGCAAAGGCAGCAAAAAAGTATGTAGATCATGCTTTTATTTTGAGATTACTTGACCTTTTTGATTCTGAGGATCCAAGAGAAAGAGACTGTTTGAAAACAATTCTGCATAGGATTTATGGGAAGTTCATGGTGCATCGGCCTTTTATTCGAAAAGCAGTTGGCAATATCATCTATAATTTTGTTTTCGAAACTGAACGTCATAATGGAATTGCAGAACTACTGGAGATTTTTGGAAGTGTTATTAGTGGGTTTGCCTTGCCATTGAAAGAGGAACACAAGATGTTTCTATGGAGAGCTTTGATTCCTCTACACAAGCCAAAATCAGTAGGTGTGTATCATCAACAATTAACATATTGTGTTGTACAGTTTATAGAAAAGGATCCAAAATTGGCTAGTACTGTGATTAAGGGACTGTTGAAGTACTGGCCAATAACAAACAGCCAGAAAGAGTTGATGTTTATAAGTGAGATAGAAGAGATTTTGGAAATGACTAGCATGGATGAGTTTCATAAGGTCATGGTTCCACTGTTTCGACGTATAGGCTGCTGCCTCAATAGCTCCCATTACCAGGTAAATACTTCTTTACTAGTGTCATGCTCATTACATGGTAGTACAACATACTTGTTAACTATGATCCTCATATTTCATGATGTGTCTTTGCAATTTAAATTTTCATTCATTCTACTTATCTTTTAGATTCCTGCTTATTATTGCATTCCATTTGGTATTTCCCAGAGGGCTTTGTATCATTTAATGTTCTGGTACCACAGAATGCTATTACTGATGACATACATTATTAGGCCTGAAGTTTATGAGATTTATTTAACTAATTGGACTGCAATTAGATGTTCGTAAGTTCAGGTTTTACGGTGATATGTGCTACAAGTGATGCATAAATATGCACTCTTAAAGTTGCTAGTGCTCTAATCATACCTTTACTTAGACATTAAACTGGCACCTAGGTAGGGCAATAAAGGACATCTCCAATCCAATGTGCAAGGTCCCACTTTGGAGGATAGGGCCCATGATTCAGAAAGAAAAAGTATATTGAGCTGTTTAGACGATTAGTTGGTTTTTGTTATAGGGTCTCAATTTGTAAACTTTTCAGGCATCCTGTTATCCTCTGTGTTTATGTGCCCTTTTTTTTTTTTTTTTTTGGAATCATGGTTTTAGAAAACACTGGTTTGTACGCCTTATTTAGCAATCACAAGTAATGATAATTAATTATAAAATATAGAAAAAATCCCTTTTTTTTTTTTTTTTTTGAAATCAAGACTTGGTTTTAGAAACACTGGTTTGTACGCCTTATTTAGCAATCACAAGTAATGATAATTAATATAAAATATAGAAAAATTGCCACATAACAAAATAAGTCCAAACTGTTCTAATATATTGAAAATATCTGTGGTCAACTGGATCTAGCTTATTTTGATTGAGAAATTCTTGGATGGACCATGGTTCACCATGGACCCTCTCACATGGAGTGGAGCCAATAGGACAGATAGTCTCCACCTTATTTTGAAATGGGCTGAATTTTCCTGGCACTTGTTTTCTTTCAGCATACTGAGCCATGGGATACATAATTGGATGTTATTTTAGGAATATGCATTAGGATGTTCCTTAAGGAAAAACATAACTTGTATATAGACGGTGAAAATTGTGATGGCTTAATGAGCTTATTTTCACCTTTCCAGGTGGCTGAACGAGCTCACTTACTATGGAACAATGAGCGCGTCCTAAATCTTATTGCACATAACAGGCAGGTGATTATGCCTCTTGTCTTCTCAGCTCTTGAGCGGAACACACAGAACCACTGGAATCAAGCAGTGCTCAACCTTACACAGAACATTAGGAAGATGTTCTGTGAAATGGATGAAGAGCTAATGCTCGCCTGCCAACGTAAGTTGGAGGAGGAAGATTCCATGTTAAGTTTGAAAGCTGAGAAGCGGAGACTGACTTGGGAACGCCTTGAAAATGCTGCAGCGGGTTTCCGACCTGCAGCTGAGAACATTATGGCTCCAGTAAAACCTGCAGCCACATGTTCTGTTGCCTGCTAATCGCATGATCAACACCCTTTGGTAAAGAAACAACCATATATTAGCAGCTCTGATTGCAGCACTGGAAATGAGTTCTCGAAATAGGAAGGAGTTTGGGATGCTAGTATATGATTCTTTTGCGTATGTGCTAAGAATGTTGTATTATAATTGTGTTAAAAGTAGTACTGCTGCTGCCTTGAAGGTTTGTTTGGCAGAAGGGGGGCTGTTCGCTGCGCTGCTGGAAGTACAACCCCCCATAGCTTGCAATTATGTGTATTGACATATCTTCTAGGGTCACCAGAAGGGCAAATGCTTGTTTTTTGCCCATATTTTATTCTTTTAAGAGCTGTAATTTATCTCCCTGATCTAAAAATGGAGATATTGCTGTTATCCTTTAGCAAGGATATTCAAGCTGTTTGCTTTGTTACACCTTGAACAAGTTGTATAGCTAATTCCATTTCTTTTCTCTTCACCACAAAACATTGGCTCTGGTTTGGGTTTTGATTGCATGCATTTAAGAGTTGAAAAAGATCCAATGTTATGGAGATAGCAATTACTACTAGATATGCTTTCAACCAAACTTCAATCAAATTTCAATATATTCTTATTTTTGTTTTTTTTAATTGCATGAGCTATTTTTTTTTTTTTTTTAATCTTCATTGGATAAGACTTTACCCCATTTTGGTTATTCATTTGTAAATATCTAAGTTGAATATATATTTATATATATTATAGAGAGAGAGAGAGAGAGAGAGAGAGAGAGTTGGAATATTGGGCATGGAAATTGTCACCGTGGATGAGTCGATCATGTAGTAAGATCCTGCGTAGTAAGATCCTGCAACACTCGAGCTAGACGTAGTTGAAGTTCGGTAGACTTGCGGACACTGGCAGTGGTTATAGATCGAAAAAGGGTCACGTGATTTTACAACATTTTATTCATACTAACCAATCCCAACGCAATAATGCATGGAGACGAGTAGGTTTTCGTTTTCCACGTTACATATGACCAAGTCTTCGTGCTTAAAAACCTATGCAAATAGGTTGGACGGCAAAAGAAATAAACAAGTGCAACGATGACGGTTTCCGTGTCCTTTGAAATAATAACAACAATTCTACCGTTATCTTTGTTTTTGTATTTTTCTTCATACTGACACTAAAAAGTCTAAAATTGTCAGTAGCGGAGACGGTTTTAGTGTTTTTTTTTTTTTTTCAAAATTTCGCATGGGACTCCATTGTCAGATTTGAAATCTTGCATCGTAGTTCGATCAGAAACCACCGTTACGGACGACGGTTTTTTAATTCTTTTGAAATTACATTAATTCGGTAAATTATTTTTCAAAATGCATAATTTTGGTCCTAAACCCCATTTTTCATATTAAAATTTGAACGATGGAGGATGTTACTTCTACTTCATCATCACCATTCGGAGCCCGACATTAATTGCTCGTCTTTCCTGCACAACTACCGCAGCAGAGGGGCTGAGGGTGACCCTTCATCATCTTTGCGAAACTTCAATTTACTTCTACTCTACTCGTTCGATTGATAGCGCTTACAAAAGTTTAAAGTTCTAAACTGTATTCACAAAAAGGAAAATTTATTATTTTATCTCTATATTTTATTAAAATATACTAATCTGTCCCTGTACTTTCAGAAATACATTAATTTTTCTCTATGTTTAGTATCTGTTGTACTACTGTCCTTCCACCAATTTTTTATCCTTTTCTGGTTAATACTTGTAATATTAATCTTGAAATTTTAAATATTTTGTACCTGTATTTTGTTAAAATTAACTAGTTTGCCCCATGTATTTTTATAATTTTTTGGTACTTTTTAATGGAAAAAGTATGAAAAATTTACAGAGACAAAGTAGTGTAATAGATGTAAAACATAGGGAACAATTAATGTATTTTCAAAAAATACAGGACATTATTTTATTTTGGCAAAATACAAAGATAAAATAATAATAAATAAAAAAAATATTTATCATGGTAAGAGTAATACTAGACTGTTACATGTGGTGGGTGGTTTTTGAATTTAAAACTCTAACCAAACCAATATTAATTAATATATATGATATCTCGTCAATCTATATGATCCAATTGGTCTTTTTACATCCCATAAAAAAGGCAAGGGTGGAAGGTTTTGGATTCGAATACTCTTCAAATGTTTGATTGTTTTTTGTTGGTTGAAGAAAAAAATCTAAAGAGGAAGGACAAATCTCCTTCCATTTTCCCATGAAAAGGGCAAAACCTTTTCAATTTAGTATACTAGGACTGGAGGATTGAAGTTGATAAATGCTTAATTACCTTTTTGCCCTTACAATTATGAACATATATGTGTATATATAATCTTTTATGGGCTAATTTGTCAATGCAATAAAAAGTGGAGACTCCATTATTTTCTGTTTTTCCTTGTTAGTTGCTACCAACCAACCAAAAGCAAATCTCATCATCTTCCTTAACCTAATTCCTTCCTTTCCTACTAAACACAGAGCATCAATATGTTTGTACTTAAGTATAACTTCAAGTTTAGACAGTTAATTACCATATACTTAAATACTTAAAGATAAATTAAGTGAAAATAAGTAAAATTACTCAAAAATGATGTGATGGAGAATTATTACTTGAGCTTAGCACTTCTGCTTTCCAGGGGAATTAGTATTTAATAAATCTTCAAATAAAAAGTGGATTTTTAACTCCATTAAGAATCTATCTACCAAAACCAGTATTTGAAGACGACAGTACTGTTAGCTGTTTGATAGTGAACAAATTGGTCCCCCCCCAATTAGTGTGTGTCCATCTGTTACATAATGGTTTCCTCTTCTGCTACTCTTATCTGTTTGTGTGTGTGTGTGTGTGTATATATATATATCAATAAGTAGGCTTTATAGTATGCAGTATTCACTGATTGAAATTCTTTTCTTATAGAAATGGATGCACCACCTAATCAACAGACTTCATATGTTGATGAAGTTAATAGGCGCAAAGAGGAGAAAGGCTTCCTCTATGCTTGGTTTGTCACTCTCTCTTTCTCTTTTTCATTTTCGTTTTTTTTTTTTTTTTTTTTATCAACAGGGGACTTTCATATGTTGATGAAGTTTTAATAGGCGCAAGAGGAGAAAGCTTCCTCTATGCTTGGTTGTCACTTCTCTCTTTCTTCTTTTTTATTTTCGTTTTTTTTTTTTTTTTTTTTTTAATCAGGAAGTTTCTAGAGATCTAACAAAGGAAAACTTAATGTTGTTTTTGATGCAGTTTGTTTTGCTCTTTTTTTTTTTTTTTTTTTTTTAATTCAGAAGTTTCTAGAGATCTAACAAAGGAAAACTTAATGTTGTTTTGATGCAGTTTGTTTGCTCTTTGTTGCTGTTTTTGCTGCTACGAGAGTTGTGAATGTTGCTTAGATGTTCTCTGCTGCTGCTGCTAAGACAGAGACATGCTTTAGTTGCCCGATATCATTTTCTTGAATAATCACTCTTGTCGTTTTGCATTTTGTCTCTAATCTCTCTCTCTTTCGAGTGATGTCGGTTGAAGAATGTCTACGTTGTGTAAATAAAATCTAAATTAATAAATCTCTGCAATTTATATTCCATGTCTAAAATTATGCTGTTCTCTCGTGCTGATAATGACTATAGTTTAGCCTGGCCTAACAATAAGTTTGAGATCATTAATTTGTTGAGGGAAAGACCACAAACTTATTACATGTGGGCAAAAAGTTATACCATAACATAGTATTGTGCAGGAAATATATTGCAAGAGTGAGTTCAACAAATCTGGAATCATCAAGTTTCCTGAAGTGGCTATGACTAGTATTTCTCGGATAATCGATACATTATTCAGTTGCAAAGCCACAGTTTGAGACCTGTAATCTAAAAATTAATACAGAACTTGACTGAAAATAACAGTTTAGAAAATGTACGTACATACAATGGAAGTCAGCAATGAAGTCAACAGTACTGAAACAAGATTCACAGCATTATTGTCAAGAATGCGAAGCCCTGAAATTTTCTTCACTGTTGGTCCAGGTTTTCCAACAACCTACAATGTCAGTAACAATAAGAGTCAAGTCGTGCTTCTCATAACTGAATGTGTTTATAATGTAAGGAACGCATGAGATGGCAATGGTAAATCTATCTAAGCAAGTCTTTTAGCTTACTTTGTTGCGAACAGTGCAAAATCCGCTGAATTGAAGTGTTGCTCCCAATATTGAATCTATGAGACTCCCACATAATCCAGCCACTGCTGCAAGGGGTATAATCAACAGCTGCTTCAGAGCTACATTATATTCACATTTAGTTGTGAAAAATCCGATAAGAACGAATGTAAGTCCAACAACGCTTCCAGCTGCTGCAGCTGCTACAAGGCCTGCTATCGTTACTCCACCATTTGTACCCCTCCGGACAGGCTGATAATCAGTTAATTAATTAAGTTACAGCCCATACCATCAGCACAGACAAATTATCAATAAAAGAAAAGAAACTGCATAAATCTTCTAAAGAAGAAAAGGGATGTTTTGCAACGTGAATGCAGAGATTTCATTAGCTACTCAGGTAGGTCCTTTGAGGGTTTAAGCCTTCAAAATAACTATTCTAGCTTTAAGGTAAAAACGAGAGACATACAGACTAGAGCAAACAGGTTACCACATTAATTTACCCAAAAACAAAATGGCAAAATATCAATTTGTAGAAACCGAAACAACCGTCAAAGATTATGGAGTGCACCAAAACTTGATGCCATGTAAAATTGCTAACTATTAGAGAAATGCTGTCAAATTATCTTTCATGAACTAGACAAAAAAGTACAGGGCTCTATGTAAGAATTCTGAATTACATAGAAGAATTGACTGTGACTATATGCAGCTTCTTACTGGCAATGGCACAAAGTTTACATCAAGTGACCACAGGAAACACACTAGTGAAGGTTTTTCGTAAATTTAACTAACATTCTATGCACAGAACAATTGCGTCCTGCAGAACGAACAGAAGGAATTGAAGTGATAAATATCAAAAGGAAAAGAACATTAACCTTAAAGGTTGTGATCAATCGTGGTTGTGCATCACTAAGCACCCCAAGCTCGGAAGACCAAGTGTCTCCATTGCAGCAAGAATAGTGACCGATAATACCACCAAATAAAGATACTACTAAAGTTGATTCTTTAGTATCCAAGCACTTGTCCTCCCATCCAGCCAATTTCCAAGTAGCCAAAGCCAAAACTGTAGCAATGCCACTGTTGAATAGAACTTGTATCCTAGTAAGAAAAGAAAAAGAATGATAAAATTCAGAAGAAAGAACCAAGAAATTCAGAAGATTTGAGTGCATTAAACATCTGAAACAACAGGAACTTACAAAATGAACAGCCAAGAAAATCTTAAACATTACTGGAAATGAAGAAAAAAGTTTACTTCCCTCAAGTCTCGCAATCCACAAATTGATTATATACTAGAAGAATAAGAAAATCGAAGCACGGAGGAATAGCTTACCAATTTCTTTGTCCGCCTTCTTTGAAATCAGCATCAATTCGTCTCTTCTTCTCCTCTCCAACCTTTGTAAGTTTGGATGAAGTGAGAAAGAACACAAGCAGTACAGCTCCAAATCTATAATCAACGTAAATAAATAAATTATTAAAGAAAAACTGAAAATTTTCTCGTATTTTCTTCCCGACTATTTCTCAGGAAACAAAAAAGAAACAGTTGAATAAAAGGGAAAAAAAAATCAAAAGATTATACCTGTAATTGACTGCGAAATGAATGGTCATAACAAGAAAACCGGCAATAGCGCCAGAGAAGTTGAGAGATTTTTTCCTGTAAGCTTTAATGGCGATAAAAGAAGAGATTAACACAGCGATTAGCGGCTGGGTTAACATATTTTCCATTTCCTAAGCCGCTTGAGACTGTTGTTCTCTTCCAAATTTCGCAGAGCAACTGAGTTTAGAGGTGAGAGTAGGTTGCAGTAGAAAAACGATGGAAGATGACAATGATGAACAACTGAAGGTTGTTTCTGAATCTATATCTATGCTGCCTAACATTGTTTTATTACTTTGATGACAATAAATAAAAAACGTTTCTACGGTTTTTTTTTTTTTTTTTTTTTTGTTTTTATTACTTTGATGACAATAAATTAAAAAACGTTTCTACGGTTTTTTTTTTTTTTTTTTTTTTAGAAACTAGCCTCACCAAAAAAAAAAAAACAAAAAAAAAAAAAAAATTCCATTATTATAATAATTACATTCTGAATTCAACTCGACCTTAATTATGATTTATTTTCAAATTTGTTCCTTAATTTTTAAATTAATCATACATAAAAGTTAACTTAAAAAACCGGTAAATCTGTCCTTCAATTACTCGACTTTAAAATCGAGCCAGATTTACTTTTGAACTATTTAAGAAGGAAAATGTGATTGAACCGATAGTTTTGTACTTAAAATAATCGATTCGCACGGAACCAATCAATTTGAATCGACTTTTTTATATTTTTAAATAATTTTTATTATATTATAAAAATTTCAATTATAATTATTTAATTAATATATATTATTAACATTTATGACCTACTAATTGCTCAGATCCATGGGTTAAATCAAACTCATCCATTTTGTTTTTTAGCTGGATTAATGTCCGAGTTGGATTTAATAACACTGCACCAAGCATCCCAAACCCAACATATTCAAAACTTATTAGAATGTTTATTAAATCAAAATATGTTCTTTTAAAGATTTACGTGTAAGTATTTATATAAATTCTTTGCGTTATTGCTTTAAACATTTGGTGTGAATAATTTAGACCATTCTATTTTTTTTTTTTTTTTTTTTTTTTTTTTTTTTTTTTTGTTTGTGAAAATTATATGTATTACATTTTATTTAATTACATGCATATATTATATATATATATATTAACTAATTTTTGGTTTTTTTTTTTTTTTTTTTGTTAAAGTACATAAATGAAAAGAGCGAGGGTCACATAAGTCAGAAGGAAGGGACACAACTACTTACAGATTAGAGGTGGAACTATTTTTAGGGGTCAAACAAATTTGGCATGCTATTGGTTAATTCATAATTTTTTTTTTTTTTTTTTGTGTTAAAGTACATAAATGAAAAGAGCGAGTCACATAAGTCAGAAGAGACACACTACTTACAGATAGAGGTGAACTATTTTTAGGTCAAAACCAAATTTGGCATGCTATTGGTTAATTCAATAATTTATATCCTACATTATTTAAAATAATGTGAGTTCGATATCCCTACCATTTTTTAAATTCAAAGATCAAACGAAACAATAAATATAATAAAAAATTCTCAAATAAAATAAAATAACCTTTATTGTCAGTCAGCAGACTCGGCACTCAAACTTTGATTTCTGAGTAATAGCTAATTTTTTTTATTATATTCAAAATTGTAAAATATGATTTTAAATTATAGTAATTTTGCCAACCTGGTAGATCAGTCTTCTCGTTAATAAAATGAAAAAAACAATTATTAAAAAATAAAAAAATTAGAGTAATAGCTCATCGTGTTATTTTAATTCAATTTGAATTTGACTACACATTATTTTTTATAATGTTCGGTAACTAATTTCAGATTTTAAATTAGCTTTATACTATTGTTTATACTGTTCGATTATTAACTTCAGCTTTTAAATTAGTTTTATATTATTTTTTATAGTGTTCAGTAACTAATTTCAACTTTTAAATTAGCTTTTAGAGAATAGTATTTTAAAATCCTAATTAATAGCTAAACGCTAACAAAACAGTTAAATTTGAGTAACAGACCCTAAATAGCGAAAAATTTAAGAGAGTTTGAAACCAACGATTACTTATGTTATACAACTTAAGGTGTATCCACCCATTACGTGTCTTAGTATTATTTGTGAATTAGTTGTGGTTCCACACTTAGCGCTCAGATAAATGAACACAAATATGACCATAAAAAATAATACAATGCCACATTAGACAAATTACAATAAGATTATTCTCAGAAAGGAAAAAAAAAATTCTAATGGCTGTATGTAAATAGATATATAGATTAAGATATGAAATCATAATTATTTATTTAAAAATTAACTCAAATTATCTAATCAAACTATTTAAAAATAAAGAAAAAAATTTCAAAATTCCTATAAACAAAGTGAGACAAATTCTTGAACACCTTGTTTTAGCTTTGAAATACATATGCTTATTTCACTATCTTTGGACCAGTAAACATTAGTGTTGGTACTTCTAGTATTGTTATGAAAGGCAGCATTTAAAGATCTTTCAACTGTCCAGCGAGCCAAGAAACCACGATCCTTACGGCATCTTCAATACTCTTATTTAATTGCCACATCAGAAAAATAAAAAGACTTTCTGAAAAATACTCTCTAATACTAATGTCTATTCTACTAATGTCTATTTAGAATGTGAAATTAATGTGTCAAAAAAATCAATAGATATTATCTACTACACTTTATATTTTTATAGGGTCTCTTAGACAATGTTCACATTTATTGCTCTTTAGTGATTAATTGCATATTAAATTATGGGCCCAGAAAGAGAGAAATAAGAAAATGAAAGAAAATTCAAAACTAATACATTGGGAAGAGTTTTTTAAAATTTATTATCTATAAATAGACATTCAATCACATCATCATTCACACATTCTATTTCAAATGACACATCAGTCACAATCCACGTAAGCATCGGAGATGCTCTTAGCTGCTTCTTAAACAAAGCCAACTGCCATTCTACATATCGTTGTACCGGGCCACTGTAAGGTCTCGGATGCAATAGTCATCAGAAATAGACCAGCAGTTGGTGGCATAACATACATCAGCAATTTTTCTTCAGAAACATTAAGAGGAACTGGTCATCAAATTCCAAATTCCAGGTAAGATGATTAAAATAACAAAAACAGCAACACAAATGGGATATCCTCAATCTGCATAAATAAGAGTGAAAACAAATAACCGTTGTGTGCTACAAAAGAATGGGAAAACACCCTGAATATGCGTGATGTCAAAGCAACATTAAAAACCTATATCTATGATATGGGAACCATATTTCAGATTCTGCGATTCTCAATTACTCTATGAGAAAATTTTCTGTATTCTATCTCGGTGATCACTAATCAACCAAGTGTAGCTGGGGAAGGAGGAAAAAACCTGAAGAACTGCAAATTCAAAACACAAAAAAGGTAGATTATAGATAAAAAAAGAAGCCCAAGCCAAATCTAACGAAATCTTCCCCTCCCCCTCCCCCTCCCCCTCCCCCTTCCTCTTCCCCTGCCCCATCCTCCACCTCCACCTCCACCTCCACCTCCACCTCCACCTCCACGTTCCATTCCATAATCTCTTTCATAATCAAACATGCTCATTTTAATATCATCTGCCACTTTATTCTGTACACCCATTTGTACCTGAATGAGAAAGAATTCAGATTAAATTATAAACACAATAAAAATATTAGTAATATTCAAAGATGTAAAATTGCTAACATGAGAATCTTCCATATCAAGTTGGTTCTGAAGCTGCCATGCAATGTCCTCATCACAACTGGTCTCTGGAAGATCAGTTTTCAATTGGTGGTTTGACCCAGCTTTCGTCTTTTCCCATTCATCTAGAGTGAAAACTGGAACCTCTACTTGTTTGCCCTTCCCCTTGCGTCGTCGACCTTTAAAATACTGATCACCTTGACTTGGTGTACTCATTTTCTGTAGGAGCTTTTGGGCTGCTGCTTGATTTTGGACGGGCACTGCTTCAGCTACTGTAACAATCGAAAAATGAATGTCGATCAAAGAAACAAACTCAAAAAGGAAGAAAGATTTGTCCAACCGTAGTAAGAGGGGACACGAGAAGCCTATATTTGGTCTTATCATAAAAGTTATTTCATAGAAATTCTCTTTATCATTTTCCAATTTATGTACACATAATATGAAATTAGCATTGTCTATACATAACAGATGAGATGTACTCTTGTCTACTTTACTTTGTTATACATGCCAATACTATTCCCTGCACTCCACTCCACAACTTTTTCAGCTTTCTCAATACTATATGATCCAATCACATAAACATGTGTTTAGGAGAGAATTGCTTGCATTACAAAAATGAAATTGTGCAATGCAATCTCCAGATAAATCACACGTATCATAAGATAATGTAAAAAAATCTGCAAATACAGTAACAGTTAGCTCACCTTCCTTTGGTCTTCTTTCATAGTTACTTGGCTTTTGATCAACATTTTCTACAGCAGCGGGAGTTGTCAACTTATCATCAATTTCATCTGTATTATGATGTGTGTAGAACTTGATCTGACTAATTTCAGCAGTTTCCACGAGGGCAGATACGCTGCTTTTGGAGGTAGACTCTAAAGTAATGTGCAAGCAATTTTAGTTCAATATATATGTTGAATATTTTACTTCCTATTTTATGAAATCCCATATTTGTATTTACTCCCTAGATTAAGATTAAATAGTACTTCCTATACAAGGATTATAGAATATTTCCCACTCTAGGATTATAACTTGTATATATATGTGTGCGTGTGCGTGCATGTGTGCACGCTTCTTTCTATAGATTATAATCAAGAATAAATTTTTCCAAAAAAACCACCTAAAATCAAAAATATACTATAAACTAAACCATAAAAAGCATGCAATGTTCACACTAGCACACTTGAGCAGAGATGTCATTACAGCATTACCCACTGTTTGACACATTTAAGCTCGGGTCCCATGTCAGTTGAAGGTAAGGGACTTGGACCAAACATTAGAAGTATGACTTTGACCAAATATTAGAAGTATGAGATTTCAATGCAACCTTAAGGCTAGCTTTGATGTGTGGTTCTCCCAAGATTCATATCATTTTGGGATGATCATCTAGATAAGGTTATAATCTTAAACATTTAGGCATGAAGTTGATCTTTTTGAGGTAGATTTCTATACAACACAAATAAACCATTTGAGCATGCATAATCTTGCCTATGATGCAGCATTACCAAAACAGAACAAGAAGTTAACTATGAGAACATAGGATTCTCTTTCTATATAAGAGTCTTAAAATTACAAATGCTTGTTATCTTCCATGATGTTTATTCTATTTCATAATGTTTGTGATATTCTCTTTATAGCTGATAAGGATAGTTTAGTCAAAATAGCTACCAATAATAATATTGCAACCTTTGGGCATACTTGTTTTTGATTCATGCAGCAGGTAACAAAACTCTATCCACAAAATTATGGTAAGTCAGGGACAAAGGTCAAAGTGGTTTTAAAAGTTGACTTTATCATCTTACAATAACATTCCTAGTTAACAATTATAAAAAACAAGCACACAGCTACATCAACACAATCACAGAGAGATTGATACCAAGTTTGCTGTCAAAAGTGAAAACCTGTTGCTCTTCTTGTTTATCTTTACCCCAATGCTTTTGCCCTCTAGGGTACTGATTTGGATGACCTGTACTCTGGAAATGCATTTGAGCAATTGCTTGATATCGAACACGTCCAGATTGAGCCACTGTCAAAAGTACAAAATATTATTAACACTAACATTCAAAAAAAACTATGAAATTTTGAAATAAAAGAAAATGATGTTTTTAGATTTCACTGTCCTAAAATTAATAATAAATTTATTTCCTGGGTAGCTGGTGCTTTTCGACTATAGATTTTAAGCAATTATCTAAAGCTCTGTTTGGCATTCTGGTGGCCCGCTTCACAGTTCTTTGTTTCTTTTTAATTATTATTTTTAATATTTTGGATATGAAAGGAAAAAATAATTTTCAAATGCTCCTGGAAAAACGAGCATATTAACACTTTTTCAAATGCAAGCCAAGCCTCACTTCTAGATGCTAATTAAAAGAAAGATTCAAGCAAGCAACTCAAACCATAATGCCAAATACAAACTGGATGCATCTTTATCCTGCAAGTAAAACAGGCGAGCAATTTTCTAGTTTGTTGGTCTATTGCCTATATGCTAAATAACACAGATTTGGTTTCCTCTCCTAGCATGTGGATATCACAAAACTATCAAAAATAGCATTCATATTCCTTCTCTTCTTTCTCACTACAAAACATATTGCAAAAGCCATTCTCTAGCATCATAAAGAGAAAATCACATAAAAGATAACAGTATTACATAATATTAATCACATAGCAAAGCACATAAAAACAAACCTGCGCCTTCGATCAGTCTTGGTTCTTCCCCAATCCTTTCTTTGATAAGCGACTTGGTTCTTTCTTTATCATCAGAGCTATTACCTCTCTGTTGCATATCAGGCAGCCTAAACTGGGTATTTGCAGCAGGAGGCACACTGCTTTTTGATGTAGAAGCAATATTATCTGCAAATAAAGGCCTTCTGTTCATGAGAAACTGAAATGCAATGACATATTCTATCCGAAGCCTGTACTGGATAATCTGTCATACAAAGTTAGACACACAAAACCCTTTAGCTGCTGTTTGTCCCACTTAAGCAAGGTCTTAGAGCGGGGATGCAGGATGGTAAGGAATGGTCCTAAACTTCATCTTTTTAGCTAAATAGCTTTTTCCTTTTTCAATACTCTAAAAAGTGAAAATAAATATTTGTTAGAAACAAGTAACTTTGTGTAATAAATTTTTTACTTCAAAGTATTTTTCATATTTATAAACACTCAAAATTATAACATATCTATGCAAGGCATGGTCCCCCCAGTGTCAAGCACTTACCTCAGAGTACAAGATGTAAGGGGTTCAAACTCTTACATCTCCCTAAATCAAAAGGGGAAGAAAGAGCACCCCAAAAGTGTTCAAATTGAAACTCTATGGAAATCTAAAAAGTTGAACAAGTTATTTCAAGTTCTTTGTAGTGAATTAGATTTTCATCCTAATGTAATTTGTTGATTTTTCTTGTGAGAGAGTGGGAAAAGAATTTTGGAACTGTTTAAAAAAAAGGCAATCTCATTCTATGCTCCCACTGCCTAGCAAATGACCCACAGGTTCATTCCCTTTTTCCCTACCATCTACTTTTAAAAAAATGGAACCAAACTGACCTGGATCACAGGCAAATTCCAGGCTGGTTCCAGTCCCAAAAACTGTGGGAAAGAGACTAAAAGTAGAACAGTCCCCTACTGGTTCCAGTCCAAATCAAAACGGAATTTCCAAGTCAGTTCTAGTCCAGGCTTTTCTCAGTCTAGTTCCAGTCGAAACTGAACCAGTAGGCAGGTCTACATAGCCCATTGCATAATATTTTTCATCAATCTGCACCACAAAGATGCTACAGATACCATATTTACAAAACTTACTTGCTCCAAGTTTTCCATCAACCAACCAAACTTTTGGTTTGAAATAGAACAACAATGTTTTCTCTGGAAGTAATACCCCTCCATTACAAATTTGCAATAGAACACAAACATAGTACAAACAAATATAATTCTACACAGCATGATAATAAATGGCATCCCTATAGCATTATATGTTAGATCTAATATACTTAAAAGCTTGTAAACTCTGACCAGAAGGTTTGACTTGCTGAGAAGATCGTGAAAATGATGCTGCAATTTGCAACTTCTCAAATGGAGGAGGACCACCACTATCAGTTTCCTGAGATAATCTCATAGATGAACGGGAGATACCCGAATATTTTTGGATCATTTGCCATTCTTCATAAAGTGGTTGCACAACACCTCCTATTAGAGTTACTACTTTGGGGTTCAAACATAGTATACCACTATGTACGGGAGCTTTATTTTCCAGTCGAACCTACCAATGAGGTAAAAGTTTATACGATTAACAAATTTATCATATCTTTTCCTAAAATGTCATCAATTCATTATAAGAAACTAAAATGTAAGATGTAAGACGGGGGTTTTATATAGTGCACCTATAGGATATTCTGTAAAGATAATAATGAAGCCCCGAAATATAAAATTTCACCAGATGGCGACAATTCTTTAAGAAAATCAAGGCTAGAATTAACAACAAAACATAACAAAACAATGGTCTTCCATCCTACACATAGAAACATGTTAAGAAAAACTTAAAGAAGAAAATAAAATTGCACTAAAAATAAAAGTACCTTAGCACCAGGAACAACATCTTTAGGAATAAGCGGTATATGAGAGTACTCTACCGCAGTTATCTCGCTGTGCCCATCAGTAAGAATGAATCGTAGAAGGCGCCGGCTACTTGAATCAGAAAATTCCCCTATACTACTTACAGATATGTCTCGCACAGAAGATATCTGTCAAACAGAAGGAAAAAAAAAAAGGCTACGAACATTATAACATGTTTCTATCATAATCTATTTTGCATTTTCTGACCAACCAAAAGGAATCTTAAAAAAAATGAAATAGACCTGAAGGACTTTAGGTCCTTGAAGATAAGGCGTTTTGCGGAGGAGATTCGAGTCTGGTAGGGACTTAGCTCCGATAGACTTAAGGTCCATGTTGAGCAGCTCCGATTCAATGGAGTCCGCCACCGAACAAGTGTCGCCGTCATCCGAAAGAGCAGTATGTATTACGACTAAGGCTTTCACTTGGTCGATGTCGCCGATGCACCACCCTCTGGTTCTTAGGGATTCTAGCACTGCTTCTGCAGCTTGAGTCGAGCCCTCTCCCTCCATTTTCAGTTCTTTGGTGGCTTCACATCACCGGTTTTGTTATTAGTATTCCGAAATCTTGTGATTCAGTTGCGCTTATCTGTTGGGCCTTAGCCCAATAACATGTTTACCATTCCCGGAATAGTGAATATCGTGGGCCTGACTCATATGGATTCTTATACTTATGGCTGAATTTTTAATATTTGAAAAAAATTTGAATTGTAATACAAAATTATTCATTTTTAATTGAACAAGGATCAATTTTTAAAGTCAAATGGTAATTTTTATATATATACTTTTATGAGTCTTTGTCTTAACCTTTTATATTTATGAATTTTTGTAGTCATTTTTTTTTATATTCATGAATCTTTTATGAATCACTCAAAAATCTAATATGTGAAAACTAACTCATTAACTATAAATAATATCATAAAATATAATATAATATATAAATAAATCATAAAAAATATGACAAATTTCAAAAGATGTGGGGCAAAAAAACAGTAGTTCATATAATAATTCAGAAATTGCAGTAAAAAAAAGGGAGTTTTAATGATGATTTTGAAATTTTTAATATTAGGTAATCTAGTATCTTTTACGTATGAAGATAATTAATTTGATCGTCATGGTCAAACTCTATTATAGATTTCTAATCACATTCTCCATGGAGCCTCTTATCGCTTTCTTCTTATACATATAAAGGCAATAAGGAACAGAAAGAATGTATCAATAACAATAGATTTTATTAAGATATATGAAAACCAACTCATTAATAGGGATGAAAATAGTGTGAGAACTAACTCACTAATAAAAAATGGGGTGCGTATCTTTTAATTTTGAGTTGCATGTATATGTATTTATTTAGAATGTTAATGTTCATATCCCGTTTAAATATCTAGTCAAGTACCTAAACTCATGCCCGAACCATTTAAAATTTTATTATCTAAACTTTAATTGATTTGAATACTATAGAATATGTATCTAAACATGAATTTATTTAAATACTAATAAATAGAAAATGAACCCCACGGTATCCAAACCTGAAAATTTAAACGCTAATGAATGGAACATGCATACCGCGGGTATCTAATATAGTAGATACCTAAATATAAGAGACAGTTGGTTTAAAAACATAGGGGTACCCAAAGATAAGGGATAGTTTATTTAAAAATTAAAAAAAGCTTAACTTTAAAAAACTGCACCAGCCGGGAATCGAACCCGGGTCTGTACCGTGGCAGGGTACTATTCTACCACTAAGACCACTGGTGCGTTGATGGTTAGCCAACCATCAGCAACTTATTTATAAATTTCATCTTTCAGTCTCAATGGCACATTTACTGGTTCCTGTCTCTTTCCCTTGGGCTAACTGAATGGGATAATGTCACTCTGGATGGGAAATGATCCCTGCTAGCAATCTCTTAAATAATATGCCTCTATCTGTATGAAAGATAGAGCCTTTCTTTCACTCTTAATTTTGATTGGACCATTTAGTCCAAAAGAATTGAAGTTGCGAGCTTACAATTTTCAATTTTCCCATTTATTGACTTGGTGAGAATTTTATTTTTAGAATGACAATTTAAACATATACAGATTATCTTTGTTGTTTATCACATCACATAGTGAATGGTTAATAAAAAAAATAAATGTTTTAAGGTTTTATTTAGTTTAACTATTTATAATAGTTGATAGTTTATAGTGATTATTGATAACCAACTGTTGATAACTATATATAGCTGATAAGTGACCGTAATTTAGTAAAATTTAGTCATTGTTAGTATTAGATTGTAAAATAATTATTAATAATATAAATATTTTTGTATTATGTATATATTTTTTATTTTTTAATGTCAATATCCTATTTTTATTTAATATGTTATGTAAATTAAAAAAATAATTTTTTAATAATATATAATAATTAATTTTTATTTTAAATAGTTATAAATAAAAATGATCATATTAAATATTAATTCAAAAGAAAAAACTCTTGTATTAATTATTTTATAAGATTGATGCAGTTCAAATACAATATAAGTACAGATCAGCTAGTAGTTGAAAGGAAGAAATTTTAAAAATCACTAATGAAATGAATAGCTCATTGAAACTTTCGTGAAGTCTTTGTTGATTAAGGGCCCATTTAGTTTAACAGTTTGTGATAACTGATAGTTAATTTGTTGGTAATTGATAGCAACCGGGAATAATTACTAGTTGGTGGGTAATGACTATATATTAATGTATAAAATATTAGTTGTTAGATAAAATTTTAATAATAATTACCGTCAAAATGCAAAAAAAAAAAAAAAAAAAAATAATGAAATGAATAGCTCATTGAATACTTTGTGAAGTCTTTGTTGATTAAGGGCCCATTTAGTTTAAACAGTTTGTGATAAACTGATAGTTTTTTTATAATTTGTTTGGTAATTGAATAGCAACCGGAATAAATATAGTTGGTGGGGTAATGACTATATATTAATTAATAAAAATATTAGTTGTTAGATAAAATTTTAATAATACATTACAGTCAAAATGCAAAAAAAAAAAAAAAAAAAAATTACTGTTACTAAAAAAAAAAAAAAAAAAAAAATTACTGTTACTAGTTGTTGGTATATTACAATGTATTATATTATATTTTTTATTTTTAAGATAAATATATCATTCTTTTTCTTAATATATTATACAAACAAAAATATTAATTTCTTTAATGATATTCAAACTATCATTCTTTATTCTAAATCAAATGGTTTTTGAAATCTTTATCAACGCTTTTGATCTAATTATTGGAGACAAATAAAGCAGTTGAACCTAACTCATCACCTCAAAATGAAGAATTAATAGAAAGGGAGAAAAAACCAGCTCTTCAAAAAGACAACCAAAAAAAGCATCTACCTTTAAAACCCAACATTAATTTCACAAGGGACATCAATAAAAACATGTTTGAATTTTGTTAAAGCTAAATGAAGTGTCTTATATTTTACTTTCTCGGTCCCACGATATAAATTATTTAAAATTTACATAAAAATTAAAAAAATTAATTAATTTTTCTATATTATACTCTCTTTGTCTCAAAATATAAATTGTTTTTGTGTGATTATTTTGTCCAAAAATATAAATCGCTTTGAATATTTTTAATGAGTAATAAATGATATTTTTTTCGATGTTACTCTTGATTTGATTAGTTGCAATAAATACAAGCAACTATTGATTTTGAGATAAAAGATAATTTGATTTTACATGAATTAATTTTTTATAATACACTGTTTTAATCTATAAAAATTAATTTTAAACGCTATATTATACAGTGAGAACGCTAAAATATAGATAAAATTAGTATACCTTTCATTGTCGGGATTCTTACTAATTCCATGATACATTGGTACCATCTCAACAGGAAAAATCAGCTTGGACAGCAAAATAACAGATAGGTGAAAATGATGGCATGCATGTCTTGCCACATGGCCAATTAATAGGCAACGGGTGCTATGGTGGTAACGAGGCAATTAATGTTTCCAAATAGCTAGTTTCTTTGTCAATGGAAACAAAACCTACCCTAGTTGTGACTCTTGACACAAGTGAGCTGTGGAAAACACATTATGTGGTATGGTATACATTTAGAGGCTGTTTGAATTCATGTAATATATAATCCATGCATTCTTTAAAATTCATATAATGTAGAATCAATAAATTAATGAAATTTTCAGATTTTATCGTTAGGTTGAAAATGCATAATTCATGGATTTAAAATATATTTTTAAAATAAAAGTAAATGATTTAAATTACATTGTTAATAAAAGTAAATAAATTATTTTCCGTTATTTGGCTTTAATATTGAAAATTAGTTAAAAATATTTAAATCTTTAACTTATAAGATATTTATAATAATATAAATTTTATATTTTCAAATTTATTTAAATATGAGAAAATTCAAAAAATTGATAAATTATGATTGCACTAGGACCCATGATGGTGGTTGGTGGTCAACGGTGATTGGTAGTAGTGATTAATAAATTAAAAAAATATGTATTTATAAGGTTATAATAAATTTGTCAATTTCCAGAAAATATTTTATTCTCTAAAAAATGGAAAGTCATTTTCTTTAAAAATGACTCCGTTTTCCTTTAACTAGAAAAATATTTCACGTTGATTTATTTTTTTAAAACCCTCAAACAACAAAAAATTATAAAAAATATATTCCTGCAAGTTATTTTATATAAAAAAAAATGAAGCCTTAGTTACTCACTTATCAACAAAAATGACAAAAAAAGTCTAAATAATTTAATAAACTAAATTTTAGAGAATTTATAATTTCTAAACATTAAGAATGAATAGTAATTTCGATCAAATCTTAAGGGCTTTATAATAATTTGATATTCACTGAATGTTTTTCATTTTTAAATTCCTAAAATTATAAAATAATAACAAAATTACATGTTGTAATATATGATTATTTTAAGAATATTATATAGGACACTTACGTGGGGACTGGAGAGAGAGGGAGAGAGATAGTTGGAAGCTGCAGCTAAATTATCCTGCAAATTAATATATCTAATAATGTCCATGCGTCCAATCATTAATTAATTAAAATAAATATTAATATTAATTGTTGACGTTGATGATTTGATAATGGAATACCATTTTTTTTTTTTTTTTTTCAAAATTGCTTAAATAGATCAGCATATATAAGGTGTGTGAGATACCTAGTTGATTGATTTGAGATAATGGAATGTACCATTTTTTTTTTTTGTAACAATTGCATCCGTAATGGCAGAATGCAAAAATTGCAGTGAGTAATATAATAATATAGATTGGCATTCAACAGAAATGGAACTTGCAGTTCACGTAAAAGCCCATGGGGATGGGTTAGGAGCGTAAATAGCTGTGCGTCTTCAACCGCTAATAGCCAGGAACCCATCCTTCGTCCTCCTCGATTGATAATTATAATCTTTATAATTTAAGCTCATAATTTTCTTTGGTCAATATGTCTTTTATTCTCTCTCTCAAAATTCTCCAATTATTTGTTGTGGTTAATCAGCGCACAGTCACTTCTCGATTGTATGGTATCCAAATTGTACAATGTCGTGAAGTTATTCAGAAGAAGTAATTTGCTTCGCTAGGAACTGTCAGATCTAATCTTAATTTTTTTTTTTTTTTTGTCAAAATTGCATCCTAAGATCAAAATTAGTGAGTAATATATAATATATGTGGCATTCACACAGAAGACTTGAGTTCACGTAACCCATGGGATGGGTTAAGTAAAACTGTGCGTTCTCACCTAATCAACACCATCCTTCGTCTTCCTCGATTATATATAAAATTTTTTAATTTAAGCTCATAATTCTTTCTTTGGCAATTTCTTTTATTCTCTCACTCAAATTCTCATATTGTTGTTATCACATCACTCTCATTATGTATCAAATTTCAATGTCGTGAATTATTTCAAAGAGTATTTCTTCTAAACTTAATCTTATTTCAATGGCGTGGAAAAAATTTACCTGGATTTGGTGTGTGTCTCTATCTATGGACCAAGTAAATGAAATTCGATATTTTTATTAAAATAAGAGTATTTTTGACTATACATTTAAAAAAAAATGATAAAGTCATAACGTTTTTTAGAAAATCTTTAATTTCATTTACTTGGTCCATAAGTGGGGACATGGATCGGGTCTAGATAAATTTTTTTCAATTGGATTATTATAAATCCTTAATGATATTTTTAATCTATCAATGAAATTAGAAGTTTTATAATTAGAATATGACTAAATTATCTTTAATGATATTTTTGATATAATTTTAATCAATCAATAAAATTAAAATTTTTTTAACTGAACGAGACTAAATTATTCTTAATGATATTTTTTATCAATAAATAAAATGCCAATAAAATTAAAGTCTCCTCGTTAGAATAGGTCTAATTTATTTTTAATAATATTTTTAATCAATAAATAAAATTAAAAGTCGGTATAAGTGTTTTTTTGGCAACCCAGTAGATCTTTTTTACTCTCACTCAAATTCACATACTGTTGTTAGCACATCACTCTCATTAATGTATGAAATTTCAATGTCGTGAATTGAATGGGCTAATTAGTTCAAATATTATTTCTTCTAAACTTAATCTCATTTCAATGACGTGGCTTAATTGCTTAATTGGATTATTATCAATTTTTAATGATATTTTCAATCGACTAACAAAAAATCAATAAAATTAAAAGTTTCATGATCAAAATAAAACTAAACTTATCTTTAATGATATTTTAATAGACAAATAAAATTGAAAGTCTGTATGGCATTTTGGCGAATCCAATGTTCCTCATTCTCACTTATACATACATAAATTTATTCTTGAACTTTGTTACTTTAATCTTGTGGCATCATCAATATTTATTTTGATGGATGAAAGACTTTAACTTATAAAACTACATCTATTACACACTTCAATTTTCAAAATTATTTTATCGAACATTTCAACTTGCAAAATTAGATCAATTAAACATTTCTTAAAAATTGAAAATTATTATTTCAAAAGTCATGCTAACGACATGAAAACCCTAAAAATTATTGATATTAATGTCAAAATGTGTGTAATATTACTAAAATATATAAGTTTAAGTGTATTATAGATTATTATCAAAGTTTAGAGTACCACAAAGGTAAAGTTGTAAAGTTCATGGCTGAATTTATGTATTCGGCCTTTATATATATTACTAGACACATATCCGCGTATTGCACGGATTGTAAGGAATCCAAAAAAATATTTTGAGTTTACTGTTATACTCTTAAATCTTAATCGACGTAATTACTTATATGCATTGATCAAATTCCAGTGCAATTAGAAATCTACAATTCATTTAACATAAGAGACTTTAGACGAGTAAATTGTTTAGCATAATATTTTTGTGTCAATCTAAATATCAAAGAGAATAGGTATCTGGGTGATTGGAAAAAAAATCTTGAAATTTGAAATAATATAAAGATTATTATTCAATAATATTATTAATTGCATTATTCGAGAAAGTAACTCAAAAGTTTTTATTAATTAAAAAGAATTTAATTATGTTAATAATTGAAAAAAAATAAATACATACCGTTAATGTTATTAAAAATACTAATTTTTCCTTTATTAATGTTCAAACTAAAAGAAAAAAAAAAATAGTGCCACATCAGCACTTTAAAGCTTTAATTTTGTGCCATGTAAATTTTAAGTTTCTATTTGTATGTAGATAGATATTCCTAAATTAGATGGCACCCTATTTATTATATTATATTCAATACAAAAGTTCTCTTTGGTAATAATTGATATTCTGTGATGATAAAAGAATAATTTTATATCTTAAATATGTTAAAAATATTAAATAAAATATTATTTTATTCTTTTTTATTAGGTAACAATTAGGTTAAATTGAGTTATCTAGTAAGTTTGAGCGCTAAATTAATGAAAAATTATCAGTTTCGATCAATTTGAATATCTCATAAAAATTTTGAGAGAAAATTAAAAATTATTTTTGTGTCAATATATCATATATGATGACACAATAATACATAATTTAATAATAAATACAAATCAGTTTAATAATATTCAAAAGAATATATCATATACAAGGTCTACCGTGTGGAGGGTGGAGACGTGGAGTAAACTCGAGAGACTTGACAGCATGTGATGTCGTCGTCATCGGATTCAAATTATGAATACCTATAAAAAATATATTTTTATTTTTATTTATTTTCTTTCGGATTAGACAGTTTCCTATATTAGCTTAACTAAATTAAATGGTTGCTTAGGGTCCCATATAAAGTCACAATTATCTAGTTTCTAAATTAATTAATTAAATCACAAAAAATACTATTAAATATAAAACCAATTGCTCAATATGCGATAATTCGATATAATAACAAATTGTGGTAAGTGATTTCAATTTTTATAAAATTAAAATATGAAGAATTAAAAAAATTTTAGCTTTACTGTTTGAAGGGATTAATTCAAAGCCAAAGGCTTGTGTGAAATTAATACAAATGCCAGCATTTGGCAAGCCAATTGGAACAAATTTCAACACTTCAAATAAATGTTGGCAGGGTTAGGAAAGAATTGGAGGTATGTTGGTGTAACCTTTTTTCCTCCCTTAACCTACTCTTTTGTTTTGACTCTCCTCCTCCCCCTATCAATTTCAGTAGCTTGGACAATTTTTACTGTTTTACTTGCCTCTCGCTTTGATGTTTCGGGGTAAATTCGGTAATATTAGTTGTTTTAACACCTGTCCGCTGTTGTAGTAGCATGAGTTAATTATATGTAAGTTTCTATTTAATCCATTTCTAATTTGTCTTTAATGATATATTGATGCGGTTTAGAATAAAAAAGAAAAAATGGAAAATAATGTAGTTTAACTGTTTCCTCATTTTTTGTGGAAAAAAAAAAAATCTAGAGTAATAAAACAAAGAGAGTATAAAATTATAATTAAAACTTTCAATGTTTGTTTTTCCAATTGTTGACACTCGATTATTAATATTTAACTCTAGCGATTAAATGATAATTATAATTGTTGAACTAAACAAATCTTAAAATTATTCTACATTCTTATTAAAAAAAAGCATATTATGATATTCTCAATTATTAATTTAAAATGAATTATTAAAATTCCGCTATTTTATACGAGTAATTTTATTGGAAATTAAAATAAATCATAATGGAATTTCAATTGATGTCAATTTAAGGATTCATTTGACATAGATATAATTATATTTGGTATATATTTGGTTTTTGTATAACTATCATTGAGATGTAATTAAATAAATTAAATATATTAGGTCGATTAGTTAATTCGTGAATTGACTTCTAATCCAATCTAATAGAGTTCACTTTTTTTAAATATTATGATTTAAATATTATTATAAGATTTAAATTACTACAATTTATATTTTAATATGTATATTATTATTATTATTATTATTATTATTTTGAATATATAATATTCTGTTCGGACAATGAATAACATAAAATTAGTAGTCATAACAAGTTAGATGATAAATGTTTTGAAAAATAATCATACATTTATAATTACATTAGCACTTTTTTATTATTAAATTATTTATGAATATATTTATAAAATTTTTACAAATAATTATAAAAAAGTTAAAAAGAAAAAAATTCATTTGAATTGAGTTGATGCCGTCCAATCGCGCTCGCTGATCAAGCGAGTTGGAAGTTGGGTCCGGTTTTCAACACAATCCCATCAATAGTTTATTTTTTTTTAAATGTTCTCCACGTCATTCAACATTGAACATGGTTGTTTTTTTCCCTCTTTTGTTTTTTTTTTTTCATGCTTCTGGTGTAGAAAAAAAAAAAAAACAGCCTCCTTAACCGTTTCAAATTCAATTCAAAAGGTCCATCGTTTCAACTCGCAGTCTCATCCTACTGGAAAGCCACGTACAGTCCTCTTTGGACAAACACGTAAATTTAGGACACGTGTTGATACGTAAAGGCGAGTGTTATCCAATTTTCACGCGCGCAAGTAATAGTTTCGAAGAAAACCCGCCAAGTTTGTCTTTCCCGCGGCTATTAATGAGCCTTCTCTGCACCACTTTAACGCCTATAAAGGAATTGTAGATGGAGAACAACTATAAAAGAAGAACAATAAACCAACCTCAAGGAGAGAGAATGCCAAAGTCTTAATAGAAAGGAAGTGACATTAATGCAGTGCTCAACTACCATTTTAATGGACAAGAAGTAGTTTCCCACTCTCATACACAAACAAGAAAGGAAGTTGTTCTTTCTTTATATGTGGCTTATCTCTCACAAAATCCTAGGGTTTGTTTCCTTGCTGTCAGATCTAAACTCGATCCACTCAAAATGTGGAACTCGGCCGAGAATGCGTTTGCCAGAACGCCTTCGTTTCGGGAGCAAGGAGAGGATGAAGAAGCGCTCCGGTGGGCGGCTTTGGAGAGGCTGCCCACTTACGCCCGAGTTCGGAGAGGCATATTTAGGAATGTCGTTGGGGATCATAGAGAAATTGATGTGAGTAAGCTTGAGGCTCAAGAACAGAGGCTTGTGCTGGAACGGCTAGTGAACGCTGTCGATGATGACCCCGAGCGGTTCTTTGATCGGATGCGGAAGCGATTTGAAGCGTAACTCTCTTCCTAGATTTAATTGAACTTGAGAGTTGACAATTGAATCTTATAATTTAGAAGTTCATTTAATATTTTCAGATAATTAAGTTCTAAATGAAAGATTGACTTGCTAGTCTAGTTCATACATTTTTCTGCATTTTCTTAGAATTGAAGAGGTAATTTAGTTTGGAAAACGACTTTTCAACTCTTGGTTTTTCTTTTTGAATTTTATGTGCTGCTTGTTGAGAGTTGTTTACGGACACAGTACTTCCTTCCACTCTATCTATCTCTACCTGCTGCCAAGTTGATCAGTTGATGACCTCAGTTGACCGTAGAAGGCGAATATTTCTTCTGGTTGGATGAACTAACTCAATTATATAAATTTTTCATAATTAATGGGGTTTTCACCTGCCAAACAAAATTTGATTCTTCAGATGATTAAGAGAAGAAAGTAGACTAAATTTCTAGTTTTAAACTTTTGTCAAATGGAGGCGCAAGAACAAAAAAGGACGGCATCCTCAAGCATAATATAGTTATTGGAATGGGTCCAGTTGAGTAAATTATAGTTAATTTAGGAGTCAAACAGAGCTCCCCTTTTATTGTTATCAAACAGTTAAAATATGGTTATCATCTCAAATCCGTTCTTAGATAAATTTTCTGACCTCCTTGGAATTTAGGAAATTGTTAAATACTTAATTGTACTTAACAGTAGTATGTGTTAAGGGCTTATTTAACAATAAGAGAAAAACAAATTCTCAAAAAAAAAAAAAAAAAAAATCTAAATACGCTTTTGTCAAATGGAGGTGCGCAAGAAAGAAAGAAGGACGGCATCCGTCAAAATTAATATAGGTTATTGGAATGGGTCCAGTTGAGGTAAATTATAGTTGTAAATTTAAAGGAGTCCAAAGACAGTAGCTCCGTCTCGTCTTTTAATTGTTATCACACGCTTGTTAAATATGGGTTATCAGTCCCTCAAATCCGTTGCTTAGAGTGATGAAGATTTTGTCGTGACCTTCTTTCTTGCGGGGCGATTTAGGAAATTGTTTAAAGTACTTATTGTGGGTACTGTACAGATTAGTATGGTGTTGAAGGAAAGGGCTTGTCTTTTAACAATGAAGTAGAAAAAACAAATTCTCAAAAAAAAAAAAAAAAAAAAAATCACGATTCAAAAACAAATATTTGTAATTTTCTGGTTTTAGCTTCGCAGCAATTTTTTTATGAAGTTGTCATTTGTCTTTAGTTCAAAAAAAAAAAAAAAAAAAAAATCACATCAAAACAAAAATTTAATTTTTGGTTTTAGCTGCAATTTTTTTTATGAAGTTTCATTTGTCTTTATTCACAGAGTAGATTTGGAATTCCCAAAGATTGAAGTTCGATTTCAGAATCTAACAGTTGATTCTTACGTACACGTTGGAAGTAGGGCACTTCCAACCATTCCCAACTTTATTTTCAACATGACTGAGGTAGAATAATTATAATCCTTCAAATTTTTATAGGCGCATGTTTTATTCATTTTTTTAAAACTGTGGATTGATTACATAATTTTAATTTGTTTTGTTCAATCACTGTGAAGGCATTTTTAAGACAGTTGCATATTTATCGAGGAAACAGGAGCAAGCTAACAATTTTAGATAACATTAGTGGGATTATTAGACCTTCCAGGTACATTTTGAGTTTGAACTGTTATTGATTGGTGATTTTTGAGCATTCTTCACATTCTAAGGTGCAAGTATCATGTTGTAGATTAACATTGTTATTGGGTCCTCCAAGCTCTGGAAAGACGACACTGCTCTTGGCTCTTGCTGGACGTCTTGCAAGTAATTTGCAGGTATCAAGATTTTGTGTATCTTACAAATATAGGAGGTCTGGAGAGCTTTGGAATGAATTGTGATATTACTGGTTCCTTAGAATAAAAGGGCTAAACTGAACAAAATTGTTGTTCTGGATTCTCTTGTTGTCTTATAGAGAGATAAACAATGTAGAGTAGGTTCTGATAAAATGCAAGCGACCTTCAAAGAAGCTATTTCATATGTTGTCCCACTGTTTTCATTTCCATCTACATATTGGTCATAATTCAGGAATCACATTATTCTTGCAGCTATGGGATGACCTTTTTTCTAGTTAAATGGTGTGACATCAGCTCTAGATTATTCAAAATGGCACAGCCATGCACTATTTCCTTTCTTGATTTCCAATTTACCTGTTATTCATTTCTCTTGAAGATGTCAGGTAAAATTACATATAACGGGCACAGTCTAAATGAATTTGTTGCTCCAAGGACATCCGCTTATGTCAGTCAACAGGATTGGCATGTGGCAGAAATGACAGTTAGAGAAACTCTTGAGTTGGCTGGACGCTGTCAAGGTGTTGGGTTCAAATTTGGTAAGCTTCAAACTAATGCATATGCCTCTTCTTTTCTTATTTCTCTTTCTCTTGAGCTACCCAAATGAATGCAATCCTTTGATGACTGGACCGTTTAAGCTATAAGGCAAGAATGCATGATTACCGAGATGCTGATTTCCAAAAGTGTGTGCCAGATATGCTTTTGGAACTGGCAAGAAGAGAGAAGATTGCTGAGATAAAACCTGATGAAGATCTTGATATATTCATGAAGGTACTTTGACCTGTAAACTTCAAGGTTCCTCTTTTCTTGCCTTATAATTTGCTATTGCATCAAGTATTTGATAGTTTTACAATTTCTTTATCCAGTCATTGGCTTTGGGGGGACAAGAGACTAGCCTCGTGGTGGAGTACATAATGAAGGTATCTGTCTCTATATGTTGATTTTGTTTTGTGCTTACAGTAAGTTTCCTGCAGCTATAGCTATAATATAACTAAGGGAGTTTCACGAATTGAAGGCCTGAACCTTGGACAAAGTGTTAATTGATACTGAGTTTGATTCATTGAAGATTAACAACTCAAATAGATTTCCTACAAGTTTTTGTAAGGATGTATCTCATGATTAATTAACCTGAAGTACTAAAATATATTTGACAAAGATTTTAGGTTTGGACACATGTGCTGACACGTTGGTGGGTGATGAAATGCTTAAAGGGATCTCGGGGGGCCAGAAGAAGCGGCTCACAACAGGTGTATACAGTCTCCTTCTTGTTTAACATGTGTGGCATTTTTCATTTCTTGCTAACCAGAATGCTATTTCTGTATGCGATTTCAGGTGAATTGCTAGTCGGTCCAGCTAGAGCACTGTTCATGGATGAAATATCTAATGGACTTGACAGTTCAACCACTTATCAAATCATCAAATATCTTAGGCATTCAACTTGTGCCCTTGATGCAACTACTGTAATTTCTTTGCTGCAACCTGCTCCTGAGACTTACGAGCTGTTTGATGATGTCATACTTTTGTGTGAGGGGCAGATTGTGTACCAGGGACCCCGTGATACTGTTCTTGATTTCTTTTCCTGTATGGGATTTCGTTGTCCGCAGAGAAAGAATGTGGCAGACTTCTTGCAAGAAGTGAGTAGAGGAGCCTAGGATATTTGGCTTTTATTATATGTTTTTTGGCTCTAAAACTCTCTTTTACAGGTTACTTCGAAGAAGGATCAAGAGCAATATTGGTCTGCAAACCGCCCTTATCGATACATCCCTCCAGGGAAGTTTGCTGAAGCCTTTCGTTCATATCAAACTGGTAGAAATTTGTCTGAGGAGCTTGAATTTCCTTTTGATAAACGTTATAATCATCCAGCAGCATTATCCACTTCTCATTTCGGTATTAAGCAAAGTGAACTCTTCAAGATCAGCTTTAATTGGCAGAAACTACTAATGAAACGGAATTCTTTTATATATGTTTTTAAATTTATTCAGGTAATTCTATTGACCTTATTAAACAGAGTTCTAAATTATTATTTTGGTATAGTGTTTAATTTTTAAGATGGATTTTAACTACGTTTACTTTGAATTGGTTTTGAAGAACCTTTTCCCTGCTAAATTGTTATATTCATCTCCCTATCCAGTCTTCCATGCTCTAATACAAGTGTTATGAAATGCTCTTCAGCTTCTTATTGTTGCCTTGATCACAATGAGCGTGTTCTTCCGGACCACAATGGATCATAATACAATATATGATGGAGGCCTATATGTTGGGGCACTATACTTTTCGATGGTCATTATTCTTTTCAATGGCTTTACAGAGGTTTCAATGTTGGTAGCAAAGCTTCCAGTGCTTTACAAGCATAGAGATTTGCGCTTCTACCCAAGCTGGGCTTATACGATTCCTGCTTGGGTCCTTAGCATACCAACTTCACTCATGGAGTCTGGTCTCTGGGTAGCAGTTACATATTATGTCATTGGATATGATCCTGATATTACTAGGTAAAACATGAACATACAGCGAATTAGCACACACTAAGACCGTTCACTTCAAGTGGACTTCATTACCTTCATTTTCTAAGTTACAGAATATTTCAATTTACTTCTACTGCAGATTTTTTCGTCAGTTCTTGTTATATTTCTTTCTGCACCAAATGTCTATAGCATTATTCCGTGTCATTGGATCCTTGGGGCGCAATATGATAGTTGCTAACACATTTGGATCTTTCGCTATGTTGGTTGTTATGGCTCTTGGTGGATACATCATTTCAAGAGGTAAAACTCAAGTTTTTTTCAGTATCTATATTTGGTTTTTCCATGTCATAAATTTTCATTTTTTGACTTTCCCATGACAGAATATATCCCGAGATGGTGGATATGGGGTTTCTGGATTTCTCCATTGATGTATGCTCAAAATGCAGCTTCAGTGAATGAATTTCTTGGGCATTCTTGGGATAAGGTTGTTATTATGTGCTCCATGTGCTTTGTATTTTGATGGTTAGTTAATCTGCTGGTTTAGCATAGTCAATATATTATGGACAGTTAAAAAATTATAATTTGAGATTAGCTGAAATGCTTCATAATTTTGCTACAAAATCATTCCTTGTTATATGACACTTCATTGTTTGAAGGTTATATATTTTTTCAGAATAAGCTTGCCTTAAATGCTTTCGACTTGAGGTTTGTTCCTCATGCTTTGAGCTTCTAATTCTGAACAAATGTCTTGCTTGGTTTTACATCTAATACTTCAAATACAATGCCTCCTTATAGGATTCTCACTTCTATTTTAATAATAATTGTTCTTTCTTCCTCTATTGCTTTTGTAGAGAGCTGGGAATGATGCTAACTTTTCATTAGGTGAGGCATTACTGAGGGCACGGAGTTTGTTTCCAGAGAGCTACTGGTACTGGATTGGTGTTGGTGCATTGCTTGGATATACAATTTTGCTCAATGCTTTATTTACCTTCTTCCTAGCTCACCTTAATCGTAAGTCTTTGTATTTATTGAAAATTTCTCCTAATTCTGAATCATGGTGAATGATTTTTCCAAAATAATAATTATACTAAAGTCATGGTTTTTTTATTCTGCAGCTTTGGGGAGGCAACAAGCAGTTGTATCCAAGGAAGAGCTTCAAGAGAGAGATAAGAGAAGGAAAGGTGAAAATGTTGTTATTGAATTGAGAGAGTACTTACAGCATTCAGGCTCAGTAAATGGTTTGTAAACTACATTCAGTACTGACATTTCCTTTCTTTTAATAACTCGCACATGTCTAATGCAGCCAAATGTTTGAGCTTTCAATCATCTTGATTTCTTGGCAGGAAAATACTTCAAGCAGAGAGGTATGGCTCTTCCATTTCAACCACTTTCCATGACTTTCAGCAATATCAATTACTTTGTGGATGTCCCTGGGGTTCGTACATTCTTTTCCTGTCTGAAACACATTTTGTGAAATATTTTGAAAATACAAATTGCTCATTTAACATCTTTTCAGGAGTTGAAGCAACAAGGAGTCGTAGAAGACAGATTGCAGTTATTAGTTAATGTCACTGGAGCATTTAGGCCTGGTGTGCTAACAGCATTAGTGGGAGTTAGTGGTGCAGGAAAAACCACACTTATGGATGTTTTAGCTGGTAGGAAAACTGGAGGGGTAATAGACGGGAGTATATGTATATCTGGTTATCCCAAAAAGCAAGAAACCTTTGCAAGAATTTCTGGTTACTGTGAACAAAATGATATCCACTCTCCCTGTTTGACTGTTCTTGAATCTCTTCTTTTCTCTGCATGGCTCCGGTTATCATCAGAAGTTGACATGGAGACACAGCAGGTAATCGTAGATACCTTTTGCTCTTTAGTGTGGCTTGGGTAGATTGTGACTTCATGGAGTTTAATTTTCAGGCATTTGTTGAGGAAGTGATGGAACTTGTGGAGCTTACTCCTTTAAGTGGGGCATTGATTGGTCTACCTGGAGTAGATGGTCTATCAACAGAACAAAGAAAAAGATTAACAATTGCTGTTGAATTGGTTGCAAACCCATCTATAGTATTCATGGATGAGCCCACATCAGGGTTGGATGCTAGAGCTGCTGCCATTGTAATGAGGACTGTGAGAAATATTGTAAACACTGGGCGTACAATTGTTTGCACAATTCATCAGCCCAGCATTGACATCTTTGAATCCTTTGATGAGGTAATCATTTTCTTTATTTATGTGAAATGTACAGCAGCTTCTGGAGCTGTGTTTTCTTTCCTAAGATATTCATTGCAAGAAATCAGAATTTCTCATGACTAGGCAGCATTATTCTTCTCTCATAGTCCAATGGCCTATTTGGAGATAGCAAATATTCCATCCTTTTCAGTTTATGAGTGAAGAGTCTAGATGAACTTCAGTTAGGTTATTTCCTTTTAGAATGTTATGATAGTTTATTGATCCACTTGTATATTTTGTTATTGCAGCTTTTATTTATGAAGCGTGGAGGACAGCTAATTTACGCTGGTCCACTTGGCTGCAGGTCTAGTGAGCTCATCAAGTATTTTGAGGTGAGATTTTGCATTTGAAATATGCCTTTGCTAATGTATCTGCACTGATTTCTGTTTAAGTATTGAACTTTGCCTAATCATCTAAATGGTATATCCTTCTGTTTTGCAGGCAGTTGAAGGGGTAACAAAAATCAGGCCTGGATATAATCCTGCTGCCTGGATGCTTGAAGTTACTTCCCCATCTGAAGAAATCCGTCTGGGTGTGGATTTTGCTGAAATTTACAGAAAATCTAATCTGTTTCAGTATGTTCAATTTCTGGAAATACTTTGCTCCTGGTTTCCTGCTGTGGAGGGACCACCATCATTATTTTTCTTCTCTCTCCTGTAACTAATTTTTCCATCTCCTGTTGTTTTAGGCGGAATAGAGATTTGGTTGAAAACCTGAGCAAGCCAAGTAGTAATGCAAAAGAGTTGAACTTTCCAACCAAGTATTCTCAGTCATATTTTGAACAATTTTTAGCATGTCTCTGGAAGCAAAATCTATCTTATTGGAGAAATCCGCAATACACTGCAGTTCGCGTCTTCTACACTGTTGTAATCTCATTGATGCTTGGAACAATATGTTGGAAATTTGGATCAAAAAGGTTTTTTGCTTCAAACTTTGTCCGGACAATCTTCCATAATGATTCTTTTATACGTTGTCTCCTGCTGAGATGGTTTCATGCATGGGCACTTTTGGCATTTCTGCTGCGTAATTTGCTCCTATCACTTCTTAATTTAAAAGAAAAAAAATCTAATGTTTCGTATACCTAAGAAAGGTGATATAATCGGTGAAGTAGACTTGTTTTATCCATTCACGATGCTGCATGGGGGTCCCAACAATGATGCAGGGCAAGTTTATGCAAAAAGAGATTGGAGGTCTATGGCCTAACAATTTATTGCGGATGATAATTTATTTACGATACACAGAAAAGGAGCAATTTGTTCCTTTTTTCAATGGATGAATCATGTAGAATGCTTGTGTTTTGTTTCTTGCTTCTTTGGCCTTTACCTATTACTCTCTACGCCTATTCTAGAATCTAATATCATTAGATTTTCTATTATTTTAGTTTACTTAGTTATTTACTTTTGCAGGGAAAATGAGCAAGAATTATTCAATGCTATGGGATCCATGTATGCTGCGGTACTGTTCATTGGGATTACCAATGCATCTGCTGTCCAGCCTGTTGTTTCTGTTGAAAGATTTGTTTCATATCGAGAGAGAGTTGCAGGAATGTACTCTGCTCTACCGTTTGCGTTTGCTCAGGTAATTTCCTTACATTATTTCCATTTTTATTTCTGCAAAATTCATCAACTCTCTAAAGGCTTTTTTCTTTCTTTCTCATAGGTCGTTATTGAGTTCCCCTATGTATTTGGACAGACAATTATTTACTGTGCAATTTTCTACTCCATGGCATCATTTGAATGGACTGCTTTGAAATTTGTTTGGTACATATTCTTCATGTATTTTACTATGTTGTACTTCACCTTTTATGGAATGATGACAACTGCCATCACACCAAATCATAATGTGGCTTCTATCATTGCGGCTCCATTTTACATGCTCTGGAACCTTTTCAGTGGCTTTATGATTCCTCACAAGGTAATTAACTGATTGCTCTTCTGCTTTTAGAATTAAGACTGGCTGAATTAAATGTGAAAATGTAGAGACATAATAGGTCCCTGCAAACTTAAGGGTGCCACAAATCAAATCTCATAAAATTCAGGAGCAAATCTATGCATTTGGCCATTTTTTACTTGTTGACTTTCAAGAGGTGTCATATGACAGTGCAGGATGCACCAATGTCTAAAAAACTTATTTCACTTCTCTGACAGAAATGTGGCATTTGGATTAAATGGCTTGTACTAAATCCTTGAGCTTGATCCTTTTTATATCAGCATCAATTTTTCCGTCATTCAAAACAATGTCTATACAAATTCTTTAACCTTTTTCCTTATAAAAAAATTTATTTATGAGCAGAGAATCCCTATATGGTGGAGATGGTATTACTGGGCAAACCCTATAGCTTGGACTCTATATGGGCTCTTGACTTCACAGTATGGAGATGATGACAATCTGATGAAGTTATCGGACGGGGATCCCTTACCAGTAAAGCAAGTACTCAGGGAAGTGCTTGGGTATAAGCATGAATTCTTGAGTGTATCAGGTGTAATGGTGGTCTGCTTCTGTGTGCTTTTTGCAGTAATATTTGCTTTTGCAATAAAAGCCTTCAATTTCCAAAGGAGATGAAAAGGTAGATCAACATAAATTTTCTAGAGATCAATCATTTGTTTATCTGAATTAGCCAGAAATTCTTGTTTGTGTAAAACAATAATATATACAGTTTCATACACATTTGATTGCTGTACTATTTATTTTATATGAATTATGTCTAAACTGTAAAGTATATTACCGCAGGCTTTGTAAGAAATCGATTGGCATTTTTTTTTTTTTTTTTTAAATGGTTAGATCCAACATAAATTTTCTAGAGATCAATCAACTTTTGATTTATCTGAATTAGCCAGAAATTCTTGTTTGGTAAAACATAATATATACAGTTTTCGATACACATTTGATTGCGTTACTATTTATTTTATTAATTAATGTTCATAAACATGTAAAGTATATCTACCGCAGGCTTTGTAAGAATCGGATTGGCATTTTTTTTTTTTTTTTTTTTTTTTTTTTGGGTATTAATTCAGTTGATATATGATTGAAGAATGACTTGTGATATTAATCTATTGTGCAAATTTATCATTAATTTATGTTTTATTTTTTTATAGCTCTTTTCTGAACATTTACTGGTTTAACCGAGCCTTTTCTCTTTTTTCTTTTTAAAGAATTATGTTGTTTCATCTTGTTCTTTAAGCTTCAAAACTCCCCTCTCCTTTGTACAAAAAAGAGAAAGAACTTTTACTTGCAGGTCCTTAACTAAGAACCGCTATTTGCAAAGCTAGTATTTTAGTTTTTTTTCCCTAAAAGGTTTAAAAACACTGCATAAGGGACCATATTTTATATTTCACTTTTCTTTTCTTTTTTTTTTTTTTTTAATGATTTATTCACAACATCATTCGCAAAATCTTGAATTAAGATAGTTTTGGAAGGAAATATTATTTTATGTTGTACCTATAATATATATTTTTTGGGAACAGCAATATTCTTAATAATTTTTTTAGGGAATTAAGACAAAACTGTATCGACCTAAGAAAGATATTGAAGCCGATATGTATGGTGGCGCTGATGAGCAGTTAGATAAAATCTTGAAGACAAAAAGGTTCAAACCCCACGAGGCCTTTGATGGTACTTGAAAGAAGAATGGTCCACTGGACAGACCAGTTAAGTTTGATAGGGCTATAGAAGAAGCTGATCCATTTGGTCTCCATCACTTCTTGATGGAAGTGAAGAAAAGAAACATACCAAGTCTAGTTGGAACTTTTGAATACTCCATATTAATTGAAAATTACATATGCTTGATTATTTAAATAATTATTTCTAATCATTTTGATAATCTTACATTTATGAGAGTTCTGAATTTTCTTTTGGTGCATAATATTATTAAATCGATAAAGTGTAGTTTACTTGGTCTTTTTATATCTTTATTCAAATAGGAAGGCCATCTTGCTGTACACTGTAGCTTCTCACCGTAACTTCTAATAGTTTTCAATCTCATTTAGCCTCATATGAATAGTATAAATATATATCTATAGGAGAGAGAGTTTATTAAGGCTTGAACGCCCTTTTTTTTTTTTGTCTGTTCTTTGTGAAGGTAGTCCCTTTTTTGTGAGATTTATTACTAAATCAAGATATGATATTTAATTTTATTTGGTGGGAGATTTTAGGTTTTGCTTCTCAGGCGTATATCTTTGATCAATAGAGTATGGTACTGTGGCATATTTCTTTATTGATGCTATTAACGCATAGTGGCGGAAACTAATCTATGTTCGTCATATGAGTAATCTAAGTATAAAAAATCTAGAAAAATTATTATTTTATTATCTAAATCAATTAACGGACTATTTAATGCTATAAAAGTTTATATCTTTTATCAAAATCAACTCCAAGCAGAAAAATTTAATATTATGTTTTTTAATTTTAGTTTCATTATTTAAAAGAATATGAATTCTTTTGTTTCGTTAAAATATCAACAAACTCTACTAGCTACTAGTTATAAAATTCTATATCTGGTCTATATGAGTATTTGTAAATCTTGATATTATTATTAATAAATTATATTTAAAAAAAATAAGTCATCAATGTTGGTCACTCCCATTAATTGTTTTTAAATTTCCAAAATAAAAACATCATCAATTATATTTTCTATTTTTTATTATCAATATTGTTTTTATTATTTCAATTTAATAATTGCACATTTGTTATTTAAAATGGTTATGATAAAAAAGTTATAGTAATAAAATTATCCATTAATCATAATAACTTCTATTTCGTAATTTATGTGAAAAAAAAAATGGACTATCTTTTTAGGACAGAGAGTATAATTTATAATAAGATATAATTGATTCGAACAAATGGATTAGCAATAATTAATGTTTTGACAAAAATTGAGTCTTTTTTTTTTTTTTTTTTTTTTTTTTTTTTTTTTTTTTTTTTGATTCGAACAAATGGATTAGCAATAATAATGTTTTGACAAAAATTGAGTCTTTTTTTTTTTTTTTTTTTTTTTTTTTTTTTTTTTTTTTTTTTGCCTTCTTTATTTTTTTTTTTTTTTTTTTTTTTTTTTTTTTTTTTTTTGCCTTCTTTATGTTAGTTTTAGGATAAAACAGCGGAAAAAAAAGAAAAGAAGGAAAAAAAAAAACATTCAAATAAGGAAAAGATGCAAATTAGCTTTTGCCAACGAAGCATTAGTCTAATGGATAAGGTGGTCATGGTGTCTATCAACAAATTCTCTCTATACGGTCTCTTATGGATTAGACAGCCCTTATTAAGTTTCCATTTGTATCTGCAAATTGTAACTATTTTAAATTTTTATTTATATCTGAAAATTATAATTGTGTTAAGTCTGTTTAAATATAAATTGTAATTGTCTTAAATTGCAATATTTCCATGTGAAATTTACTTAAACTTCTCTTTCAACAAAAGTGACTTTAGTGACATTTCAAATTTATAAGGTGAATGAAGTGAATAAGATGAGTACTTAATTGGATATTTAAATGATGGTTTTCGAACGATTCGAAGAAGAAAAGTGAATTTTTAAATAGATTCAAAATGAATTATGGTATATAATTTGTAATTAGATTTGAATTTGAATATTACTTTTTAAGCGGACATCTGTTCCAGTGCCATAAGAAGAAAAAAATAAAGCAACAAATAAGACCTCTAATTATCAAACAATCAAGCAAGTAACTCTCAAGCAACTTAGCATATCAAATTCAAAGAAGCCAAGCAATTTCAATTCCAAATTATTGTCTTTGTTTAAAAAAGCAATGGCCATTTCCTTTACTTTTGTAATTACAACCTTTCAATGCTAATCGATCTTATATTTTCTCATATTCAAACTTACATTCACTTAGTTTTGAGGGCCCGTTTAATTCAGCAGTTTATAACAGTTGATAGCTGATAGTGGTTAACTGATTACTGTTTGTTTTTAATACAATTTTAGTAGCAGTTAAATATAAAATGATCATTAAGGGCATAATTGTTTTCATATTATATATATATATAATTTAAAGAGAATATATATTTTTTTATTTTAATGTATTATATAAAAAATATTAATTAGAACAAATTATTATCAATTATTTTTATGAGGTCGATAAAGTCCATTATAATATAAATATAAATAAATTACCAGTTGATATGAAAAAGTTATAAAATGTGCTACCAATTGATATGAAAACACTATAAAATGTAGTTACTGAAATTGACAGCTGATTAAGACTTCTATCAGCTATAATTGATGATTAAAAATCATATTAAATACCTCCAATGTAACTGTTCAGATAAGCACATATTCTAATTTTTCAGTTGGTATACTCAATATGGCGTGCTACAGCCTCATATGAAGTCGTTGCAAGCTAAGTTTTTCAAACCAATTTATATATAAAAAACTAAAAATTATCTAACTATGTACCAATGAATTTTCAGAAATGCTATCTTGTTTTATATATATTTCAAGTAAATTTTATTTTTTAATTTATAACAAATAATAAATCTATAATATATTTTTTAATAAATAATAATAATAATTTACATTTATCATTCGTAAAATAAGTTACTTATTGAAAAATAATTATAACCGGTCAAATTAAAAATTTATTAAAAATAATAAATAAGTTACTTATTGAAAAATAATTATAACCGGTCAAAATTAAAAATATTAAAAAATAATAATTACATATTATATTCACGTTACCAGTATTTAATATGATATCTTATTTATATTATATACTATAATTTTTTATTTTATTTTAATTAAAATTTAGATTTAAATAGAAACTACAAACTGGCCTCTTACCATATTTAATATATATCTTATTTATTATATACTATAATTTTTTATTTTATTTAATAAAATTTAGATTTAAATAGAAACTACAAACTGGCCATAAAAGGACCTTTCCTATATATTGAAACTCTAATAGAATTATATGATTAAATTAACATATTTTTATCTTACCGTAAATATAATAAAATTTAAAATTGTTTTAATTTATAGTTATTTTTTTGTATAGGATTTTGATTAAAATAGGGAATAATATATCCAATCAAAATAAAAATTTTCCTATATTTTTAATCAATAGTATTTGGATTTTAAGTAAGAAATTAATCTAACCAATCAAATAAAAAAAATACTTAATAATAAATTATTTTTTAGTCAATCAAATTAGAGGGAAAATTGTGATTAAAATACCAGTATGAGATTTTTGTCCCATAAATTTAATTCGTAATCAATTTTATAAAATTGTATCTTGTTATAATTGGTAAGTTATCCTCCAATTATGGATAAAAAAACATATACTACTTCACATTAGATTCACATTCGAATCTCTTTTTTCAATATCCAAAAAAATACAGGTATAAAATTTTCTACATTATAAAAAGACAGGTTTACTATAATTTTTTACCTAATAAAGAGATACGATTAATTTAATTGGTAAGTAGTTTTGTAAGATTTTGTCTTATTCATAATTGTTAAGTTATCTTCCAATTTTAGGTAAAAACATATTAGTAAGATTTTTTACCTTACAAAAAAATAGGTATACTATGAGATTTTTTACCTAATAAAGGGATATGATTAATTTAATTGGTAGACGGTCTTAAATATTAGTATCAAAATAGGTTAGCGTGTTGAATTTGACACGAATCCGCCTAATACTTGATATGATTAGATTTAACATGAATATTATTCATTTAAAAATCGTGTCAAATATTTAAACACGAAGACAATATGAAAAGTAAATGAGTCATACGAATACGACACGCATAATTTATTTATTTAAATAGATTATATATGGGTAAAAAAATTTGAACCAATTTAATTAAATGGATCGTATATAGATTAAAAACTTCGACGTATATAACCCGCTTGGTATATTTATTATATATGAAACTACTTTATTTTTAATTAAATGAGTTAGATAGATATATGAGTCAACATATAACATATAATCTATTTAAATTCATATTATATATAGATCATTCACTTACGATGAATTATTTAACTTGTTTAATTTTCATATTATATATAAGTTATTCGTGTACTCGTTTAATTTTCGTATTAAGGTAGAACTGAACGTCGAGCTGTAGACCATTTTGACACCTTGTCTTAAAAACATAAAAACCCTGGTTAACCGCTAGACTGCAATATCTGACATACGTCCTTCCATAACACAAAACAAAGTCATCAACTGAAATTTGCTTTTGAAAGAAAAAACAGAAAAAAGAAAAAGTCAAAAGACAAAACAAAAAAGGAAAAAATACAAAAGAAAATCTAAGTTGCGTTTCCTTCGCACAATCGTTGCATGTACCTAATTAGAACCTAGCTGGCTAAACAGTCAAGACAAGAGTCAACAAAGTTTTTGATTCCAATTCATGAGAGACAACAGTCAAGACCTCTCTCTCCCACTCCCAACTTTACCTTCCTTGCATCAAATACCTTTGTTGATTTTGTTTGGTGTATGGATCAACATGAACCCTTGTATTAATAATTTATTTAGTCTATAAATAACGTGTTGGTTCAGATAATAAATGCTTTTAATTCTCGTAAAAATGAAAATATAAATTTAATTTATTTAGTCTATTTATTTTATTGAATTTTTTTTTTCACGCTGGAATTATTTAAATAAAATCTTTCAAAAATGAGTAACTCGAGATATATTACTAATTTTAACCTGATACATAACTTTAAAAACCCAAATGAATACATGATTTACAAGATTGACCCATCACCACTGACAAATCTGTATATATATATATCTCCCTCATTCTCAATTTGAATGCGTTGATGCTTTAATTATAAATTTATAATCAAGAATTCTATCTCAGACTCCTAAAAAGACAACACCATGCAACTCAATCAGATAACCCCTCTAGACTTCAAAAATGTTGCCAAACTACCCGACTCTCACAGATGGACTCTCTCTTCAGAAAACCCATCTCAGGATCCATTGACCCAAGAATCTGTTCCGATAATAGATCTCAACGACCCACATGCACCGTCACTTATAAGAGAAGCAAATGAAAATTGGGGTATGTTTCAGCTCACAAACCATGGTGTTCCCATTACTTTAATGCAAGAAATCCAAAGCCAAACCCAAAGATTATTTGCATTACCGGCTGACCAGAAGCTCCTGGCCGCCCGATCGCCGGATGGCTTGACTGGATATGGCATGGCTCGCATCTCCTCTTTCCTCAACAAACAATTGTGGTTTGAAGGGTTCACTATTATTGGATCTCCGGCGCAGCATGCAAGCCAATTTTGGCCAAATGACTACACCACCTTCTGGTACGTATATCGACCATAAATTATCTATATTATTTATAATGTTTATGTAAAATTTATTTTGGTATTTTTATTATATTAACTAGAAATAATTTGATCATAAAAATTTCAAAATAATTTTATAAATCATATCTTTTATTGATATCTAAAATTTATGTTTTTTTTAAAAAAAAATTTCAATCACAACATTTATATAATAAAATTCATATAATTTTGCTCGTCTAATAATTTTACCGAACGAAAGAGTATTATGTGGACCGGCTGCGGTCGGAATATTGTCGAATTTCATTCTTCTTCTTCTGGAAACTGCCACGTAATCTTAGGGTAGTTGGTGCCAGTATAGAATTGAAGGGCTATTTTTGTAATTTACTGTATATCGTTATTATCTATGATGAGAAATAAATGGCTTTTTCCGCGCACGACGTGGGAAAATCTGAGTGGCTGGAAACTAACCTGGGGTGGAAATAATCTAAGTCGTGTACTCGTGTAAGAATTTTGTTGTGAATTTGCATATTGCATGTTCCATGCAATGTCGTTCACGTACGTTCACCCGGTCCAACCGCCGGAGATCCGACCCGCCCAATCAGATACAAGGGTAGTATCTCAAGGCTTATAGGATAATTAATTTTAAGGGCTTAATCATTTTATAAGCAGCACCATAATCATAATCTTAGCTTTTATTTAAAAAAAAAAAAACTTTTATTGGGGAACATATATTAGGCGCTTTAATCATTTTAGTAAGCAGGCACCTATAATCATAATCTTTAGCGCTTTTAGTTTTTTAAAAAAAAGAAATAACTTTTATTGGAAAACATATATTATATATATTTAATGTATATAATAGTGATCTGAGTACTATATACTATATATATTAGGTTAATAACATACTTACGACATTTATAAATTAATTTTTGGTAATAATAAGTGGACCAATTATTACAATGTTAACCTAAATTCTATACTTGTAAATCCATTGTAATATATATATATATGGTAATAACATCTACGACATTTAATAATTTTGGTAATAAATGGAAATTATTACAAATTTACACCTAATTCTATACTGTAATCCATTTATGTCTTATATAATCTCTTTTTTTTTTATGATAAATTAAACAGGATTCAGGATAGTGTTAAAAGATTTTCTTAATTAAAATTTTGTCTTCCTTCAAATAAATTAAAATTAAAATTTGATCAAAATACTAAAAATTAACTCAAAAGCCGTTTTTATATAATGTTACGGATCTTTCTTCTTAACTTTTAACTATTTATATAAATAGCCATATGTTGGTAGTAGGCATAATTTTATTTTAATAAATATTAAATTTCAATTTTTATTAAAATTATTTTTTTAATATTTATCAATTTATATGTAAATAAATAATTTTATAGTTGTTATATTCAATTTTAATTTAATAAATATAGTTAAATATAACGTAAATTTTAATTATGATATTAAATTATTTTTTATTTAAATGATAACAACTTTATAATAATTAATGACAATTAATGTTGTGACAGAAATAAATGTTTTATTTTAAAAAAGCATATATGAATGATAATTAATTAAAAATAATAGTTACATGATAATAAATAAAGGAAGAATAAATGAAATGAGTGGCTATGGTCATGTAAATGGAATATACATGCTTTAAAATTTTTTAATATGAACATTGTTACTAAGAAAACTGATTATTCTTTCTTTCTTTTCATTGGATTTGATGTCTGTCACTATGTTCTTGATACGTGCATACTTTTTGTAACCATTTCCATTTTCTTTCTATTTAGAACCAATTTGAACCCAATTAATATTAAGTCCTTGAAGTCGGCCGCCGGCCGCCGACCGCCTGCTTATGTTCAAAACTCCCAAATAGGTCAGATAAATTAATATTATTATATCTTATATTAAATTAAATATATTCCTGTGTTCATGTAGTGATGTAGTGGAAGAATACCAAAAGGAAATGAAAGGGCTAAGCGAGAGACTAATTGGGCTTATGTTTAAGTCATTGGGCTTGGCCCAAGAAGACGTGAAGTGGTTCACAACCAAATCTGAAACCCAACACCAACCTCAATCTGTGCTTCAGTTGAACTCATATCCAATATGTCCCGAAGCCGGCCAGGCCATGGGCTTGGCTCCTCATACAGATTCAACTTTGCTTACTCTAGTGCATCAAAACAATGCCAGTGGCCTCCAAGTATTCAGAGAAGGCAGTGGGTGGGTACCGGTGCACCCAGTCGATGGTGCACTTGTGGTAAATATTGGTGATCTGATGCAAATACTATCCAATGGCAGGTTCAAAAGTGTACTGCATCGAGCGGTTGTGAATGAGACCTATCACCGGACATCGGTTGTCCATTTCTATGGCCCACCAATGGATGCAGAAGTGTCACCGTTGATGCACTTGATTGACTTTGATCATCCAGTGCTATATAGGGCTGTGTCATGGAAGGAGTATCTTGATGCCAAGAAAATCCATTTTGACAAGACATTGGATTTTATTAAACAAGATGCTTTGGGTGTTCCTAAAAATGGGCATTGACAATTTTATAGCAGTAGAGAAATAATTCAAGGAAATCCCGAATCAGTGAGCCCTTGTGTGCTACAATTCTAAGCTGAACCTTCGAGATCTTGTGGGAGTTGCATGTGTGAAATAAGTTAGTATCTGCATGTTGCTTTGAATTTTATGTTTGTGCTTAAAAATAAAAAAAAGTATTTAAACAAAAGCTGAGTTTCTTTTCAGCTTTCTCTATGTTAGTATTGGGAAAAAAATGACAAAAGAGCCATTCAAATCACAAGATGATGCAAATTTGAGATAAATAATATATATATTTAGTAATTGGGAAAAAAAGGTACAAAAGAGCCATTCAAATCACAAGATTGATGCAAATTGAGATTAGAAAAATATATACTATATATATATATATATAATATAGTATATTTATATATATGATTATACATATATATATTATAAGTTACGATATATATAACTATAAATATAATTATATATCATGCATTCATTTACTATGCAAAATATATTATCATTGCATTCATTTACTATGCAATATGTAATGTATGTAGCATTTACAGCGACAACTTTCACTTTAGTCGGTTTCCCCAACTGTAAATCTACATATCAATGTCAAACTTAAACTTGTCTTTCCAGAGATCTTCAGTTAAATTAAAATCTTGAGGTTACTACAGACACTGGGTTAGTGTGGAGTGTAAAATGGACAAAAGCTATTAGCTCATTTGACTAAAAAGGCTGTAACAATTAGCCAATATAAACAAACAGCTGCAAAGGCATCTGTCAGAATACCTGGGAATGCGAGGCAGATCCAAGAGATGCATGAAATCACTTCCAGAATTTGACCATCTTGTCATGACTAGCAGAAGCTACCAAACCAGTAACATTTGACACTGCCAAAGCAGATACCAGTTTGTCGTGCGCAGGTAGAGTCATTGTCTTGTTTTCAGCCAAGTTCCACAGCTCCAGAGTCTGGAAGACCATGTGAAGAGAAAGCGAAAAAGAGTATATTGGTCAATTGAGCATGATAAATCTCAGTTGGTAATCTCTAGTGAACAACAGCTCTTGCACAAAACAATAAACCTGCATCCTTCAATTCACATACATTGACAACTAAGGGCCACCTTTGCACGTTGATATACATGAATTGCACAAATTTTTGTATATTTTGCTCATTTTACTTCTAAGAATCAAATTTTATGGAATACAACAAAACTAAACTGAATTCTACCTTTTCACATTTCAATTTCACTTATGACTAATAAGAGTATTGGATTGCGTGAAGTCAAGATATGAATCAAAGTGTCTATGAGTTGCATTAGATTATAAATCTGCACATTGAAACAAACCAGTAATAACTTGCCTCATAACAACCGATTATCAGTAGAGAAGAATAAGTGGGGTGGAAAACACAGGTATGAAATTTGTTGCCAGAACAGCTCAACTCATGAATGTATTCTCCTTTGCTGCCAGAGCCAACTGTCCACACTCTAACCAAGTCATCGCTCACAGATGCCACATACTCGCCGGAAGGATCCCAACACACAGAATGGATATGGTTTTTATGTCCCTACAAAGACAAATTCCACGTGTAATGCAAAACAAAAGTAGTGTGAATACTTGGCAACAGTAACTCGCTGGGAACAGAACCCCCTTTGAGTGCTTGAAAAAACTACAACAATATTACTAGAACCCTTTTGAGGTTTAATATATTTAATGCTCAAGTCCTGTTGTTTAAAAGATAATACAATATTTTAGTCCTAGTGCTACCATCAATATAATACACAAGAATTTGAGGGTTCAAAGTACTTTATAGATACTATCATACAGGAACTACACTGCAATTACTGTCAATAACAGCTGTATAGTGAGTCAATATCAGCTGTAATTATTGTATATATCTTTACTAATTTGCTATAATTCTTGTATTTAATAGCTGTAATCTAGGGATTTATAATATATATTTTTATCACACTATTTTTAGTCTCAGTGCTGTATCCTATTTCAACTTATTTATAAATCACACAAGTTAATTTGAGTTGTGTTTGCACGACAGACTTTATAGGGAGTGACGTATCCATACAGGAAACTAACACTGCACCGATTTACTGTCCTAAATATACAGCGTGGTTATAGTGCAGTCAATATCAGCTGAATTATTGTATTATATTCTTTACTAATTTGGCTAATAATTCTTTGTATATTTAATAGCTGTTAATCTTAGGATTTATTTTTGGGGATGTACAAATATTGGGATGTGATTGGTGCTTAAATTTAGGATTTATTATTGTTTATGTGCTTTATCTTTCTTTTGTGATTAAATTGTATTCAGCGGGGGGTTATATGATTACATATAGCAGTTTGAAGATATACAGTAATTTTCTCCAAATCTTTTGTCTTGTTTATGTTTATCAGAGGGGCCGTTACGAAGGTACGCTCTCGTGTGTTTTTTCTTATGTCGAGATAGTTCTCAGTCCTTTGTGTTTTTGTGGTTAATTTTCCACCTTTTCTTTATATTTCATCGTGGGTTTGTCGTAAGGTCTATGGATAAAAATCTTGACGTTGTTTGCTGCATCATTAAAAATTCTACTAGACAAGAATTACTTTGGCTTGGGGTGTAATGTGTCCAATTCAAGAATTTATGTTCTAGAAAGAGCTTATGGCGGGACATATGTTGATGGTTCGACTAGTAAGGGCGGTTCCGAACGTGATTTCAACTTAAAATAGTTTTCAGTAAGCCGACGGATTCAACTAAAATAGCTGAATGGGAAACAAAAGATGCTCGTGTGAAAAGCTGGTTGTTGCAAACAATGGATCCTTCCATTGCTGCCAACCTCAGACCATTCAAAACAGTGAAAGCGATGTGGGAGTATCTTAAAAAAGTGTATGCTCAAGATAATTCAGCTAGGCGGTTTCAACTGGAGCAAGATGTGTCCACTTACACGCAGGAAAATTTGTCAATCCAGGAATATTATTCGGGTTTTGTTGCTTTGTGGACTGAATATACTGAGATTTTATATGCTTCTATTCCTGAAGCATCTTTGGAGACAGTCATAAACCTTCATCAAACTAGTCAAAGAGATCGTTTTTTGATGAATCTAGTCAAAGAGATCGTTTTTTGATGAATCTCAGATCTTGAATTTGAGATATGTCAGATCAAAGAGATCGTTTTTTGATGAATCTCAGATCTGAATTTGAGATTGTCAGATCCAATTTGTTGGCTAGGACTAACATTCCATCTTTGGATGATTGTTTGAGTGAATTGCTTAGGGAGGAACAACGTCAAAAGACGCAGCATGCCTTAGAACAGCAAGGCAGCTTATCCAATGTTCTCAATGTTGCGTATGCAGCACAAACCAAAACTCGGAACCTGGCTGGAGTCCAATGTTACAGCTGCAAAGGATTTGGTCATATTGCAAGTCAATGTTCCAAAAATTTTGCAACTATTGCAAAACTAAGGGACATATTATTTCAGAGTGTAGAAAGCGCCCAGGAAGTGCGACATCTCAGGTCTTTTGTGCGATGTCGGTTGCGAACGAAGGCGCAATCATGTTTGGGCGGGCGGGTCAACATCGTATTGAGATGCTTCTCAAAAGCTTCGTCTGTAACATACTCAAAGAGGCCAGATAATCACAAATAGTCATTTCAGCTTCTTTCTACACTGAAATGACGGAGGTAAAAACAAAATCGCCTCTCAAAATCTGGCTTTGTGATTTCCAGCTGATCAAATCACATGACTCCATCACTTACAATCTGTTCTGTTGAACAGTGTAAAAATTGATGGTGGCAACATTGATAAATCGACGAACTGCTAGTTGGGAAGTCATGTTCCCATTATGGGCTACTGGTAGTATTTCTTCCTTCGTCCCCTTTTCTGAAGAATGTTTTTATTGCTCCTAAAGATTCATCTACCAAAATTTTATTAATTCTGTTGGACAAATAGTGTGAGAATAATTTTGAAGTTATTTTTTCTCCCTCTGGGTGTGTTGTGTCAGGAGGTTAATGACGGGGAGAAAACGGTGGGACCAAAGAGACCTATAGATTGGGGCAGAATTGTTTACCTCTTAATATCCCTGAAAACGACCAATTGAGCTTCTATAAGTGTGTGCGTTCTTGTGTACTAATTCTTACTTTTCAGTTTTCAAGATGAGTAGTCAACTCTATGCATGACGGAAGTTGGGTCATCCTAATGATAAGACTATTTCCTCTTTTGTTTGTAATTCCTTGGTGGATGTTGAAACTAAACCTCTTGTCTATATATATGATTATGAATTTAATGTTCAAGTTGTCAAAATGGGGGTAAAAGCAAAAAACTCTTTACCTTTTCCATTCTATCGGGCCTCATATAAGAATGAATGCTGTGTGATTTGAATCCATAGTTGGATGTTTGGGGAATTTCAACTGTTTATTTTCTCATATATCATTATCAAATATTTTTGATTGTAACGTTCATTGATTGATTATCTGTTCTGCTTCATCTTTTGTGATCTATTTTTTACGACAAAAATCATGAAGTGGTAACTTTCGATGTTTTCCAAAAGAATTTTTAGCCTCTAATCGAAAATCAGATTTCTAACAGACTTATTCAAAATCCTTGCGTTTTGATTCGGGTGGGGAATCACATGTCACAAATAATTTCCAAAGTTATTTTATCTTCAATCAAATGGGATCTCTATCTCAACGAAGTTGTCCAATATACCCTCTCTATGTCAAAATGGATGTGGCCTAGCGAAAAAAACAGCCATTAACTTTCGCATGTCGGTAATTCTGAAACTTTGGCTCATTGTTAATCATTTGTTCCACCAAATTTTGGGTGGAAGAGCCGTGATCCACTGCCGTTACATCTCATTAAATCGACTCCCTCACAGCCACTCTCAATAATCAAACACCATATTTTTTGCTTCATTAAACACGCATACAAATTATATAAACATTTACAATTCCTTTTGGATGTGTTGATGTTTTGTCCTTCTACCAACCTCACGAATCGAACCAAGGTCTTTACCCCACAATCAATAAAATGTGTCTTTCTTGGCTAGCGCACCCAAATCAAAAGGCGCGTTTCTTGGCTACGCACCAAATCAAAAGGGTTTTCAGTGTTTTGATCCAACCACCCAACGGATTCGTATTTCTCGTAATGTCATTTTTTTCGATACCAAAAAATTTTACTCTTCCTTTGAAGGCTCATCCAATACCTCTTCTTATACACTGCTTCCATCTTTTGAAGACAACGTCAATGACTCACCTTCCAACTCTTCTCTTCCAATAACCCGATTTCATCCTGGGATTGTGTTTACTAGAAGACCTGTTCATAGACAAATTCAACAACAATCTGATACTCCATCAACATACTAGAAGACCTGTTCATAGACAAATTCAACAACAATCTGATACTCCATCAACAGTAATGGCACTTGAAGCTTCGCCTGGGTCCCCTCTGCCACCTGAGCTCGACATTGCACCTCCACCACTTAGAAGATCTGCTCAAACCATCAGAGCCCCAGACAGGTACGGTTTCTCTCCAGAAAGAAAAAATGAATCTCATACATCCATGGTTGCTACTTTGTCTTCTATTGCCATACCAAAGTCATATTCAGAAGCAATTAAATCTGATTGTTGGAAGAAAGCTATTCAAGATGAATTGGATGCTCTGGCAGAGAATCAGACTTGGCAACTTAAACCGTGTCCACCAGAAATCACTCCCATTGGTTCCAAATGGGTTTTTACTGTCAAATTGAAAGCAGATGGTTCTTTTGAACGTTGTAAAGCTCATCTGGTAGCGCTAGGAAATCGCCAGGAATATGGGATTGACTATGACGAAACATTTGCTCCGGTCGCGAAAATGACTACAGTTCGTACAATTACTACCCAGTTCGTACAATTTTGGCTCATTGCAGCTTCTCAAGGACTGGCGTATACATCAAATATGGATGTTAAAAGAATGCCTTTCTTCACGGGGATCTTAAAGAAAATGTTTTTATGCGTCCGCCACAGGGATTGCAAACTGGTCCAAATGAGGTATGTCAACTGCAACGTTCTCTGTATGGGTTGAAACAAGCCCCTCGTGCCTGGTTTGCAAAATTTCTTCAAACTTTGCTTGATCTCGCCTTCCAACAGAGTCAATATGATCCTTCTTTATTTTTCCAAAAGACAACTCAAGGCATAGTTATGTTACTTGTATATGTGGATGATGTTTTAATCACTGGTAGTGATACTGTTTGCATTCAACAATTGAAATCATCTTTAACTGCTTCATTTCACATGAAAGATCTAGGGTGCATTTCATAACAATGTGGAAATCATGCCTTAAACTGCTTCAGTTCACATGAAAGTGCTTCATTTCACATGAAAGATCTAGGGTCTCTTACTTATTTCCTAGGATTAGAAGTTCACAGAAGCACCAAGGGAATCTTTGTAAATCAACACAAGTACATTCACGAACTAATTCACTTGGCTGGGTTAACAAACACAAAACCAGTGGATACTCCTATGGAAGTTAATGTCAAATTTCGTAAAGAGGAGGGTGAACTTCTACAGGATCCTACATTATATCGGCGCCTTGTTGGAAGTCTTATCTACTTGACAATAACAAGATCGGATATCTCTTTTGCTGTTAATTTGATGAGTCAATTCATGGCATCTCCACGCCACTTACATATGGTTGCTGTGAAATGGTTGCTGTGAAACGGCATAATTCTTTACCAGGTACTTGATGGAACTCCAACTATCGTGGTCTGATTTTTTTTTACAGCATAACTCTCCTCTTACTCTTTTGTCTGGGATGGCGGGGGCTGGTAAGTGAGCTCTGATTTGGGCGGTGGCCGATACTCGTTCGGCGTCTACAACGGGCTGGTGGTGGTATTATTTAGGTGAACTTTCTAAATATGCGTCTTGGATATGATGCATTCAAGAAACAGACAGAAAGTCTCCAAGTCTTCTACTGGAAGCGGAGATATTAGGGCAATAGTCTGCAACATTGCTTCAGAAATAATATTGTGTTGCGTGGTTTGTTATCTGAATGGGTTATTACTCAAGCTGGGTCAACTCTCTCTTCATGCGGATAAAATTACTAAGTGCCCATCCAGCATTGTTTCGCTAATCGCAGTCTACCATGAGCGCACCGAAACACATTGAAATAGACTGTCATTTCAAGTCCGAGAGAATGTTTGATAATAATGTAAGCTCAGCCTCCCATATAATTTCGTTACAACACAGCAGATCGCGATATTCCTGGACCAATGGCCGCGTCACTGCTGTCGTTCGACATTTCATTATTTTTCTCTGTCATATATATATCATTATATGAGTGCTAGCATTGAATATCACCGCGCATCAATTGTAGAGTTATTGGTGTCAATTATACATGTTTGTATATAAGTGTGATGGTCAATTTATCAGGCCGTTGTTAATTATTTGCTTAGTATAATCTTACTTAATTGCTATAATTTGGTAGTGTAATAATTTAGCTGTTAATTCTTTGGGGTGATTATGGATGTAAAATATGGGTATGTGAGATGTTTATTTTGTGGGGTTTATTGAGTTGCTTTAATTATTAATATTTAATATGGTTTTTGTTAAGTGGGGTGGGGGCAATATTGTTAGGCTATTCTCGTGTGTATTAAGATTTTGTATATTTGATACTAGAAGTCTATGTTTAAGTATACAGGAATTTCTCCAAGATTCTTATTGTGTACTTGTTAATTACACCAGTTCGTTAGGAACTTAAAACTTCGCACTGCAACTTTAGAAGTTCTGATGTGCTTAAATTTAGGAATATTGTAGGCTATCTCTTGTATAAATGTATATGATACAGAAGCATGAAGATATACAGAATTTTCTCCAAATTCTTTTGTCTTGTTAATTACTACCAGTCAGGAACTAAACTGCACTCAACTTTAGAGTTCAAAGATGAGTGAAATCAAACATTAAGTTGCAATTTCAAGTTATTGAGAGTAAAGGAGTTATTAGATTCAAATGGACCTCAAGATTCAATTTCAATAATGTGGTTGACAACTAAATTGAGGTAGATTTAAAATTCATGAACCTATGGATCTAACCAACTAAAAAAACCTACATACTAATTCAAATGTCCAATTTCAAATGCTTCCATCCAAACTCCAAAGGCAACTTAAGATATTTTCAAATATTAATCATGCATTTAAGCATGAATATGTGTTGTTACATAGATTAATCATAATCAAACAAGATTTTTAACCAGTAACTTGTATATAAAATACCAATTGAGGACCAACCTGCAATTTCAGTCTGCACACTTGGGTCTCAACATCTAGTATGGATATGATATTCTCTGCAGCAGCTGCAAGGATCCTTCCAACATGTGGCTGAAACCTTGTCTGAGTAGCACCACCCTAAAAATAGGTAGAGAGTAAGCTATAATGCAATGAAATATGAAAATAATGGTCAAAATATTAGTTTTCACCAAGATTCCTCCTGAATGTAAAACAGCCACGTTTATACCTTGAAGACTCCAACACAACTACCGTTTTTGATACTCCAATAGCGAATCTCACTGTTATTATCACATGAACAGATAAGGTCCTCTTTGCTTGGGTGGAAATCCACTGACATGACAGTTGTAGAATGTCCTGTAAATGTGCGAAGTGAGTAGCCTGGCTGCAAATTGGAACAATTCATTGAACCAAATAATTAGATGATTGGGTTGTGTATCACCATAATAAGATCACTGAGAGTTTAGGTAATTCATCTCTATCAGACATGGTTCCTCAAAAATGCAGGTCTAACATGATGAGATTCACCACACGTCTTTCTTATCAGTTTACTTCAAACATTATTTTCAGCAGGTCCATTCTCATTACAACTCAACTAGGGTCACTCACATAATTATTGGCAATCAGATACTACTATTCATTAAATCGTACACACAATTAGTGACTAAATCTCTTTGTAAGGCAAAATTCAATAATTGCAGTTGAAAAACAAATTATAGATGCCTCAAAGTAATAAGGTCACAGATATCTCATAAAAGTGAAGCAACCTCATTTCTGCAAACATTTTCATATCTATGTAATGTTACAATCGTCCAAAATTTGGTGCAAAATGGATCTAAGTAAATGGAGTGTATCAAAGTTCAGATTTCTATCCATTTTGAAACAAATATATATGGCAAAATTTTATGAGGAGAGATCATGTTTACTAACATTATCAGCTTCCCAAACCCTGACAGTTTTGTCAGCTGAAGCTGTAGCAAGCCTCGAGATGCTTGGGCTAAAACGAACATCAGTGATCCATTGAGAATGTTCTTCAAGGGTAGACTTTGCTGTAAAAGACTCTGTGCACCAAAGCGTAGCCTGCCAAACATAATAATCAACCAAATGGAAAATTTTGTCCTTCTAAAACAATTATTTTATATATATATATAATATATATATATATATACCAAATGGAAAATTTTGTCCTTCTAAAACAATAATTGAATTTAAACCCTTCATCATTTGTTTTTAACATGAGGAGTTAAGGGAGGGGAAGGGTTGGGCTCTCCCAACCATGCAATTGAATTTAAACCCTTCATCATTTGTTTTTAACATGAGGAGTTAAGGGAGGGGAAGGGTTGGGCTCTCCCAACCATGCAATTGAATTTAAACCCTTCATCATTTGTTTTTAACATGAGGAGTTAAGGGAGGGGAAGGGTTGGGCTCTCCCAACCATGCAATTGAATTTAAACCCTTCATCATTTGTTTTTAACATGAGGAGTTAAGGGAGGGGAAGGGTTGGGCTCTCCCAACCATGCAATTGAATTTAAACCCTTCATCATTTGTTTTTAACATGAGGAGTTAAGGGAGGGGAAGGGTTGGGCTCTCCCAACCATGCAATTGAATTTAAACCCTTCATCATTTGTTTTTAACATGAGGAGTTAAGGGAGGGGAAGGGTTGGGCTCTCCCAACCATGCAATTGAATTTAAACCCTTCATCATTTGTTTCTAATCTGTTACCAGAACTTAACAAAAAAGTGGAATTAGCGAGAATTCACCTTTTTGTCATGCCCTCCAGTTGCAAGCAATTTTCCATCTGATGAGAAGTGACAACATTCAACTTTACTTGTACTTGCTGGAATATGCCGTATCTCCGAAAAAGCTAAGCCTACATTAGAATAAAACTATTAATTCCTATACATAAATTTTACATTATTATAGAATCAGAATCATTCGTCTCCTTCCCATTTCATTCCTCATGTGTGAATGTGACTAGGGGTCATAGCCAACATAGAAGGATTGGCATTAAACTGTACCTTTGCTGACATCTGCAGACTGACCAACTCTATCTCTAAGATCTGCAGCATCATGAGAGAAGAATGAGTCTACATTGTCCTCCAGAGTTCTATCATCCACAAAACGGTCCATATCAGCCTGCAACAAATTTACTTGATTGTTGAACATTCAATGGAGCGGTACTAAATGCAATTCCTCCCAAGCGTAGTCAATAAATCTTAGAAGGATGCAATAATCAAGTATCAGGAAATGTAATGATAGCCATTTCTGCAACAAATAGATTGTGAATGGAATAGAAACCTATATAAAATTTCTCAGTTAAGCACAATACACCACTTTGGACCGAAGAATTAATATAATCTCTGGCGGCTCTTCCAGATTGTGTGTTGATACTTATTTTGTAGATCAGGTTGATGCATGCAAATCAACAAGTAAGCTTGTTTTTAATTATAAACAATTAGGACACAGTTGAACAAGCTTGTTTTGACATCCTTTCACCATTTTACAATCCCCCAAATCACGAAAAGATGTTAAGCCATATCCGAAGTCTCAATTACAATGAAAGCCAATCATGGGATGCATAAACACCCCAAGCACACCTTTCAATTAAGAAAATCTCAATATGGCAATTAACCATAATTCGCATTAGGCGGGTCTGCCCTCATCCCCATACTTGTTTATTCTCACTTACTTTCATATATTAATACCCCAAGGGGAAAAGAAAAAGAATTGAGATCATGTATTTAGCACATTATAAATATTAAAATGGTGACTAAATACACTTCCCCTCCCTAACCAACTCATTTTGATAGTAGCAAAAATCTGGGGGAAAAGCGCTCTGACCCATCTCTCTGCATTTCTTCCCCTACCCTCATCATCTCCAAACACCATGATTGATTATTTTCGCTCATATTTCATAAATCTCTTCGTTGTGGAGATAATAAAAACTTGAAACAGTACATTTTCTCAGCCTAAAAACATGGCAAACATTCACATAAATAGGTTTGATGCTTGTGAACTAAAATAAACTAAGGAATCAAAGTGAAACTGAGATAACTAAAGCAGGAGTATTTGGGAGAAATTGGCCTGCATTGACAGCACTGAAGTGGAAACATTTTGAGAAAAGTGGTTCCAAGCTAAGCAATCCAAATGGTGTAAAATTAATGGAAATCACATCGAGATGGAAAAGAAGCCATAGGTGAGATAATTCCAAATGAAATTAGCAAGAAGAAAATCACCAACCAGTTCATTTGAAGCTGATGCAAGGGAACCCAATCCGTCAGAACCAAACATAAGCAAAGACTTGGAACCACCACCATTGTGTGACAAATTGGGCACTGAAACAGCATCACCAGGTGTGTGAGTGGAAGGTGTTGATGGAGAACTTGGGGATGGTCCAGTGGTGTTAGCAGTGCCTGAGCTATTGGCAGGGCCTGAGGAGGACCCAGGCTGCTTTCTCTTTCGCCCAATTTGACCTTTTGAAGCCTTAAACAAACAAGAATTTCAGTCAGACGCCATGTATACCATATAAATAGAAAACACAGACAATTTAAAACGTAACATTCAGGTTCTGCAGGGACAAGAGCAACAAGGCAGCAGGAATTGGCCCCAGCCCTCCAAGCCCAAAAAATTTTCCCATATAACATAACATACAGTGTTATGTTATTTTAAACACACTTAACACCCATCCTCCACCCTGGCTCCTCCCAAATAAAAATAACAATAGTAACTGCCCAAAAAAATAGAAAAGTCGAATTTTACTACATATTTTAGTTTGGAGATAAAAGTAAGATAGATTAAATGAAGAAAAAATGGACAACTTTTGCATGTCCTCAATATTTCATAAAATGGAATTTACTGACAAATATCTAATTACTCATTAGCTGTTAAATATATAGGGAGCTGCAGAAAACAGATATGTAAGCGTGCATGCATTCAAACATAGATTGCAAAACTAACTTTAAAACAGAAAAGGAGAGATATAGAACAGAAAAGAGAACGTAGGAAAGCAGCATAAAAATTAGCTTTCACAATCCCTGGTGATGCAGATTTTAAGACAAAAAATTTGCATCAGATAACATCATATTATATGAACTTTGAAGAACTGCACAATATATTCAGCCAAATGCATAAATTCACCCCTATACTTTATGCAAAAAGCTTTGTGGCAACCTCAATTTTTACTTTGATCTATTGCACACTTCAACTTATAACATTGCACCTATGAAACAATTCAGCTTGCAAATTTATTCTATTGAATGCTTCAAAGTAAAATCAGATTGATTAAACACTTATTGAATAATTGAAAAATGTAAAAATTATTTTTACAAAAGTTAAAATAATCCATCAAATCAACATTTTGCACATAAACCCCAGAGTGAAGATGTGTTCAATACTACCAAAATTCATAACTTCAGGGGCATAATAGGTCATCTATAAAGTTCAAGGTGTCACAAATTTTTTCTTGTAAAGGACATAGGTGAATTTATATATTTGGCTCAATATATACAAGGATAAAATGTTATGACAGACAAGCTAAAAACACTAAGTGGGCGTGAGTATTGTGTGTGACAAATGATTGGAGAATGCTAAATCTCTTAGTAATTTCCAGTAAATATAATTTGGAAAACTAAAAGCTACTTGATAGCTAACCTGGTCGTTTCCTTGAAAAGTGTTTGACATGCTACCATCCCCTGTTATGCTGCTAGAACCAATTATTTTGTCTTGCTGTTGAAGGTGGTGACTTGAATTTTGGGACTGTTGACTCACAAGTGGATGCTGTGGATACTGTTGCTGCAGTTGGTTGTTCTGCAGTTGTTGCTGCTGCTGCAACTGAAACATGCAACCATAATTAAACCAATTCTTCCAAGAAGCCAAGAGACCAGATATTCATATGGAAAATGCAGATAATTACAAAATTTAGGGTAAAGTACTATTTAATCCCTAAGGTTCGCCAAAATTAATTACTTTGTCCCTCTATTATAATAAATACATTAAAATGTCCCTAAGGTTTAAAACATTAAATTGAATAGTCCTTCCATCCAGAAAGTAGAATTTTCACCGTTAAGTATAAATATTAATCAAAAGATAAAAATGCCCTCCCTTGAACCATCTTCCTTCTCAGTTCAGAAATGGCCTCCGTTAAACCATCTTCTTTCTAGAGGTAAAATATCAAAGTTGAAGATTTTTTTTTCAATTTTTATGCTTCATTTTTCCAAATTCTGCTATAAACTAAGTAGAAAAGGCAGTGTAAATATATGGGAATTACTAATTTTTGTTTGAATTTTGAAATTTTCATAAATTTTCTTGAATTCAAGAAATAAAAAGAGCATCAGGACTTGAAGATGGCTTCTGCTTTCTCAAGAAACTAGTAATAAAATTATTCTGATAATAATAAGCGACGACTTCCAGATAAAAAGAATGAAATGACTAAAAATAATATATCTGGACAAGAAAATGAAGAAACAGACAAAATCAAAGCACAACTAAAAAATATGCCAAGTAATTCAACATATCCATCGAGATAGAGACACCAAAAAAACATGCTGAGAAATATCATCTGCATGTTAACATTACTGAAATTAGAAAAGAAGAGAAAAATGCATGTTTGATATCAAGCAACTAAAATTACCATACAAAAACAGAGAGTACACTAAGATTTCTCGTTTGTAACAGAAGCAGAGTTTGTGGGTAAATCTCTTCATCACCTTTTTTTTGGGGGCTCGAAAAGAAAATCAAAACCAAGATATGCATTACTCAAAAATTCTAAGAAAATCATCAAACCCATATTCAAATTGATTTAATAACTAAACCCATTGGAGACGGGGAAGATTGGAGATGAGGAGCACAAAATTGGAATAGAAAGCAAAGAAAAGGATAAGAAAGAAGAGAGAGATAGCAAATTTGAAGAGAAGAGAATAATAAAAAGAAAAATCACAAGTATTAGTGAGAGGAGTATCTTAGCACCAATACTAGCACTATTGTCCATCCATTTTTGCTGAAGGTTTATGTGAGATATTAGGGATTGGCAACAGTTCCAAAATGGGGTTAGGATAGAAATGAGAAGGAGAACTGTCTGCATATAGAGAGGGGAGGATACTTCTGTCTTTCCATTAATATTTAATGGTGACAGTCCCTTTTTTTGGATGGAAGAACTATTCAGATTAACTGTTTCAAACTTCAGGGACGTTTTATCGTATTTATTAAAATAACAGGACTAAGTAGTTGTTTCAGGCAAACCTCAGGCTAATAATACTTTACCCTAAAATTTATCAGCATTAAGCACACGGTAAAAAAAGAATACCTTAATCAGTAGATCTGTGTCTCCACGGGTCAACATAGGACTATTGACTTGCATTGGTGATCCAAAGTTACCAAGTACATCGCCGGGATTCAAGGGCCCATCCTTCCCAAGACCAATATTCTGGTTATTGAGAAGCATTCTAAGTTTTCTATGCTCTAAATCATTGGCAGATTGCGGTGCCAAATTTTGCTGCGCGTGAAGGAGCAACTGTTGGTGTAACTGAAGTTTATTGAGTGGCTGAGGGGATTGCATCAACCTTTGCTGCTGAAGGAGCCCAAGCTGATCCACTCCCTAAGAAAGTGCCAAGGATTGATTGGTTCAATCTAAGGTGTACTTTAATGCATTAAACTAGCATATGGTTTCCTAGTTCTTTATACAAATGTTCACAAAAACTTCCTCTAGAAATTTTGATATATTAAGCAATCCATATGGAGGATCATATCAAGCATGGGTTTGAAAACTTACAGTTAGAGGCCATCCTTTCAAAGTCAAGTTGCTTCCCCCTTGATTTGGTCCTGAGTACGCATGAGAATAGATGTTAGTTCCAACTGGCCACTGAGGTAGAGATTTTTTTTTTCCCTATTTCTTGCCATGTGCCTCTACAAAACTAATGATATTTGACAAGTGATGACTACAGTGAAACTCTATACATTACCGAAACAAACATAAAATCAGAGGGTTAATGCATCAATATATACTTCCTAATTTCAATGAAGGATATAAAATCGCAAGATAAAAACTTCTTTTAAGATTATACTCATAGGGCTCAACAACAATACAGATATACTTGAGCACAAATTTAATATTCTTATGGGCATTCACAAACTGGTGTATATTCTTCTACAGATTATTGCTGATGATGAAAGTCTTCTTAAACAAGATAAAAGCATCTTCAGAAGCTATTCATAGGGCTCAAGAACAATACAGAAATAACTTACGCACAAATTTAATCTTCTTATTGGCATTCACAAAAAGGTGTATTTCTTCTACCAGACTATGGCTGCTGATGAAAATCTTCTTAAACTTTTCTTCGCTTTTTGGTTACATAATGGAAGTTTAGAGCTCGAATTTTGCATTGCTAGAAGAGATATAAAATTGGAAAACGTCCACAAACATATATATGTTATAAATAATATTGAAAAACGAAAATATTGTAATTAATCAAAATTTCACTGCATGGACATCCTTTATCTCTCGTCTGTATGGTCAACAAAAAATGTGCTTTTGTCTATATTAGACATCTGGTGTAAATCAACACTCAATAATCAATTAAACTATGGTTTTCAAATTATACAGCCAAAACATCAACTCAAAACCATGAATCTCTAATGAATTATAAAGATAACACAACAACTGTGCAATTGTCTATATTAGACATCTGGTGTAAATCAACACTCAATAATCAATTAAACTATGGTTTTCAAATTATACAGCCAAAACATCAACTCAAAACCATGAATCTCTAATGAATTATAAAGATAACACAACAACTGTGCAAGCATGTAAATGCCCAGGCACATTCAAATATATGTTGAGTTGAAAATTTAATCCTGTAAGTTAAAATTTTCTACGAACATTCAATTCTAAGCCCCATGCAACATCTGCTGAGGTCAAGTGGATTAATCATCAAGTATTTGCTCTAATACTCAAACATCACCAACTTATAATCATAAACTCCTTCTGTACCATAGGCTACAGTATCAATTAAGGAGATTTGTTATTCTGCTGCTCAATTTTTCCACACTTCATATAAAAGTAAAAAATAGAGGAAAAAATTGGTAAAACTGAAGATGACAGTAAATAATTACCTTGAACTCCAACCAATGATCCTTCCATTCCAATAGTTCTGGGATTTATCATTGCATTAATCTCACTCTTTATGTCCTGTTGCAGCAAAATGAACCAGCGTATAAATAACAAATATGAAGCACCATGGATTATGTATAAAAACCCAACATAAAATTTACCTGGGTAGACACAGCAAGTTGCTGATTCCGATTTTGAGCTTGATGCAAATTTCCTGAACCTCCAGCTGTACCATGCAGTGTTTGCCTACTCAAAACAAATAAAGTAAGGCTAAGCTACTGCCAAATTGACAGCCCAACGATGGAAGAAGACTCAAACATGCTCATCCCAATAAAAGCAATTCTGTGGAAAATGTACCCTGGAGGCTGGCCACCTAATGCAGCTGCTTTCAATAATGAGGCACGACTTGGATCCAGAAGCTGGCCTACATTATCACCTAACCTTGGCTGCATGATAGAATAATGTCAGAAATGCAAGGATAGACGATTAAACAGAAGTAAATCTTAGATCTCTAACAAAATTGAGCACCTTCATAGCTGCATCATCCAGAGAATCTCTCTGAAGTGGAAGCTTTAGTCTATCCTCATACATTTTTGTTGCCAAAGCATTTGCAGTTGCAGAGTTATGTCTCGTGGCATCATTAGCAGCAAGCGCATTGGTGGTTCCATTTGTATGCTGGTTACCATCTCTTCGTTGCTGCTGCTGCTGCTGCTGCTGCTGCTGAGCATGTCTCTGTAATAAGAGCTGCTGCATTTGCATCTGCTGATGTTGCTGAGGTTTTGGATGCTGTGGCTGCTGCAACTCCCGTGCTTTGACCATTTGAGTCTGCCATATTCAAATATCTTCATCTGTAAGCTTTTCTAAGCTTTTCAAGTATATTTCCAACATAGCAATCACACCACAAATGCATGAAGAAAGAAAATTGCAATGAAATATTCTATAGTTTTATTTCATCAATGCAACATAAAAAATATTTATTTCGTGCAGAAAGTGGGGAACAAACAATTGAGGGCAAACTATGAAGAACCTCTTATAATAAAGTTAAATATTGTTTACCAATATAAATTTGAAGCTAAATTTACAAATCCAACATATGGAAAAAACTGCCCAAAGGACCCTTATCTTCCCTTTTTATTGGGGTGGGAAGGAACTACCATAACCAAAAGAAAAGAACAAAAATGTCAAATAGACAATTAAAGGCATGTATGCATTATCAGCTAACTATAAATGCAATTTCATTTTCCTCAACTGATTACACACACTATTTGGTAGGCTGCAGAAAGCACGATGGTGCAATTAGGACATACACTATAAATGTGCTTGGGACGAGAGAGAAATGATGCCATCAAAACAAGGAATGTCAAGAGAGTTAAACAAAAGAAAAATTAACGAATTTAAAGAATAACTAAAAAAGAAAAAAAACATGAACTGACCTCAATGTATGATGCAGCAGCTTCTGAGTGCTTCTCATTTGTCCTGGCAATAAAAATGTCCCAAAACACAGACCACCATTCAAAGAGAAAACCACCAGGTGCATCAATGGCTGGAAAAGAAAAAAGTAAAAAAAACAAATCAACACCAGTAGAGTAAACTAGACTGAAAAGGCATAATTTGAGATGTCAATTTTTGCCTTTGTTTTCCCAATCTCTCTTTCCATTAAGTGTAAACAGTCTTACCGACAGGATCTGTGGAAACTTTGCCTTCAGCCTGAAATGCCTTTGCAGAAGCATTTAATTTTCTCTTCAAAAGGTAATCATATATGTAAACATCCAACCTTTGCACCAAGGAATGAAAAATAAAAATCATTCAGAAATCAGTAATATTAAAACTCTATAAAGTAGACCATGATATAAAATGATAAACAGATAGGAACACAAGACTTAAAAGCCTCAACTGCTAAGAAAATGCAGATGGGCGGCCAGAATCAAAAGTATTGTTCTAAAGCTAGTTTCCATTTAAACCCTCAGACAGATGAATTGCCCACGCCACTGAATTTAGCACAATTGTGAAGTGACAAATTTCTTCTTCCAAAATAAACACCCTACATAGAGTATAAAACCTTACTCCTCGATTGACTTCAAAAGAACAGTCAAATAATCCATTTGGTTGTGAATAAATTTCTCTCAAGTACAATTTTGAATCAAACTTTAGCTAAACTTCACTCAAGAAAGCTCCTCGAGACCCTTTTAAAAATTTAAAAAAAAAAAAAAAAAAAAAAAAAAAAAAAAAATAAAAAAAAAAAAAAAAAAAAAAAAAAAAAAAAAAAAAAAAAAAAAAAAAAAAAAAAAAGGAGAAGAAGAAGAAGAAGAATTTTTCATTTCCAAAACAAGCAAAGCAATTTTTACCTTGGTAGATGTATTTAAAACCTCTTTCGGAGAAAACACACAACTCAAAATTGGGAACAACATAATAAAAACACAACAAACCCAGTATCACAGAAGCCAAAAGCAGGACGTTGCTTCCTTACACTTAAGGGAACTAACACAACAATCAAAATGTGGATATACAGGAAACACAAACCCCATGGGGTCAAGTTCATGCCCTTTCATACAATTCAAAAAGATCCCACTAGCAATCAAACAACAAAAGCCAGAGCTCAAAACCCTAACAAGTACTGCACATGAAAACTTAGAACTCTACTGAAAATCTAACGGTTAGGAAATACGAAGCAAGCCAACGGCCAGAAATCAAGGGGCCATCCCTCCAAAAAAAGAAACGTACTTTGGGAATGGGAATGCTAAGAAACATCACCAGAGAAAAAAAAAATGACACTACCACTCACCAGAACTGCTCATTAAAAAAAACCCAAACCCTAGAACCATACACCCATTTACCCAAAAGTATAAAGCTAAAAATGAGCAAAACCCACAAAATGGAAGATACAAGAGACGCAATTGAACTAAATAATTGAGCGATTCTTACATTTTATCAGCTTCCCAGTTCGTCTGAGGCTGGGACATGATTACAAAGTAGAGGTTTTGCAACTTTTGGTTAAGGTTACAAAAGAAAATCCAAAAAGGAAAGCTTACAAACTGTGAAAGGAACAAGAAAGTCCAGCTAAAAAAATTCTTGGGTTAGATTCTTTGACACATGTTCATCGATTTTTCAAAAGAAAGAAAAAAACAGAGTACAAAAGCAAAAATGGGTGCCACGGCCACCTTCTCCTCCACTAGTAGATGTAAGGCGATAATCTTGGTGCGCAAGCAAATGTTTTTATTCTAGTTCGCTCTGATTCTCTGCGTTGCGCGAGTATAACCATTCCATTTTCTTTTCTTTAATTTTTTTAGCGCTCTTTTTTGTTTTTTTTATTTTTTTTTCCTTTTTCACAATTGAAAATTTGATTCTAGTTCGTTCTAATTACTAATTTACCATTACCATTTTTACAAAACGAAGATGGTTTCTTGAAATTTTTCTCTTGATCTTTTTCATAATTTTTATTTTATAAAAAGTACTGTTGGATGTTATTATTCGACTTTTAACTTACTTAAAATACTAAGAATCAACATTTAATTGAAATTCACAATTAAGTTGTATTGTTCCATTGGTCCACTTTTATTCATTGTTTGAAATTCTTGATAATTAAATCACTTATTATATCATTTTTTTTATCTTACCTAATTACTTTAGTCTCAATAATTACAATTAAAGGTTGATAAGATAGATTTTAGAAAATTATGGAAAATAGTCAGTGATTTATAGGTCTCAATGTAAAATTAAAAAATAATAATTAATACTTTTTAATACTTTATCCATTTCACTTTAATAGCAATGTTTCATTTTTTATAATAATTAATAAAATATAATTAGAATATATTATTTTTCTAAAAATACATAGTAAAATATTTAAATTCCGCTTCTTAAAATTTAAAACTTTCCATTTAATTTTACTACAAAATCAATGTTAATTTTATTTTATATTACCATTAAAGTTTTTACAGTTTCATTTATTTTTTCCATCAAAACTTGTGAAATAAATCCCTTGATATAGTTAAAAAAAATATGATTTTCAAATTTATTCATAACTAAATTTATAAATTTTCCATAATAAAAATATTTTTTTAATCTTTATATTTAACAATACATTTCTTTATCATCAAACAAAACAAAACAGTATTATTAAATTTTCATTTACCAAATTTTCCCACAAACACAAAAAAAAAAAAAAAAAAAAAAAAAAAAAAAAAAAAAAAAAACAAAAAAAAAAAATTCTACTATAAGTATCTTTCTTATACATAGATACTTTTATTTTTACCTTAATTTTGAAATGATTCCTCCATTAATCAATCCAAATAAAGTGAAAAAAAAAAAAAAAAAAAAAAAAAAAAAAAAAAAAATTTACTATACTTTCTATATCATACTTTATTTTACCTTATTTTAATGATTCCTCCATTAATCATCCAAATAAAGTGTACGATTGGCAGAGTCAGTTTAATTATTTAAAATTCAAGGTGAAAAATCAAATCTGAATACTTTTGCAATTTTAATATTTTGTTTTATTTTGAATATGACTTGGGTAAAATTGAATACAATGCAAAACCTTCCAAAAATAGTAAAGCAAAATGTAATTTTCCATTATAATTATTTTAATTCGGAAAAAACAAAAAGCTGAAAGCAACCCAACCAAACAAACCCGACACTCAACCGAAGAATAAGTTGTAGCTGTAGAGGTTTATTATTAGGAGTAGTGGTAGCTAGCTGTAAAATGGCTTCCTATTTTTATGTAAACGCCAATGTTTAGTAGGAAGGAAAGCTTGCCTTTGACCTTGAGATGAGAGTGTTCTGCAAATCACATTTTGGAAAAATAGAAAATTTCGTGTGTTTCATTTCCAGAAAAAAGACAAAGAGGATGAATTTGACTTGTCAATTCCCCACCTAATTTTTCTTTTTGCTGCTTTTTTTGATTTTTAACTACAGGGACAAGCATTGAAAAATGCGTTGCCAATTGCCAAACACTAAAACCCAAGAATAGCACGAACCATGCAACAATGGAAAAAGCTTCTTTTATGGATGAATATGCATTTCTCTCGTGGCACGAGTAACGTTTTTAATGCCAAAAAAAAAAAATATTCCGTTGTAAGCTAATATTGCCGAACAGTGTCTTAATTTCATTATCAAGGGATATATGTATATGGATCTAATTCAAACTAAAACTGAATTTAAACCAAAACTTGCAACAGGAGCTTTTGAACCAATTAGTACGACAAATCACTTGCCCATCATAAATTTATACGGTTTCTTATTGTAAAACAAGAAATTCAATTAACATGCATATCCTAAATTTAAGGCTTATGATCTACCTCAATTCTAAAACCTCTACCAGTCCCTAAAATTGAAGTAAAATGGGTGCAAATGATACAGCTAAAATATAAAACAAGGTGGAATTTTTCCATCCATTGATAGCAATACTAGTCAAAGCAACAATAAGGGCAGCAGGGACAACACTTTTCATTCCTTAAAGTCATCTTTGTCATCAACAGGAATTGGCCTATTCCTCCAATACACTGCAAGAGCACTCCCACCAAGCTGGATCGCAGATCAAGGAAGGAAATGAGACATTGAAAGTAACTCTAATAATAATAGACAAAAAGATAATAAGATGCTCTGAGTGAGTGCAGTAAAATTCTTACTGCCATGCAGACGACGCTAACAGCCGAAGGCACAGCCACGAGGGGATTTGTAAAATGTTTCTGGGCAAGTAAAAATCCAAGGGCAGAACTCTGCAGATGTAAAGGAACAAGTTAGTGTAGAAAACTAAGGAAAAAAATTGCTAAGTATTATTGTCTTTGCACATTGCTGATTAAAGGAGTATTGTGCATCATAATTATTGATTAGGTTAACCGATGATCCCAGACGTGCAAAGTTAATTCCTTTTCTGCACATGGTTACAATCAAACCTGATATCATATGACTGACACAGCATAATTCTTTCATCATGTCATATTTTCACTTCATTTTCTAAATTTTCTAAATAGAACTAAATCAGGTAACATGAATTATGATCATACATCTTGTTTAGAGGTATTACTACTATCACGCTCTATATAGCAATTATAGCTGTATGTATATGTGCAAATAATGGTAAGCAAGCATGTCAATGATACACCAAATATGCATCACAAGCAGTAAACTAGAATTGCTGTTTGAGGCTGAGGTGGGTGGTTCCATTATGAAAAAAGCTCGGGCTTAACATATAATCATACTCATACTTACCTGCATCCCACATTCTATGGATATAGTACGAGATGTGGATTCACCAAATGATATTTTTGACACCCAATAACCAAGAGCAAATGCAGCAGCATGCAGGACGGCTACTGGCAGAATCAGTTGTGCTCCTTGGGTTTTCAATACATCAGATACTTGCCCAATCTTGAAAAAGGTAATAATAAAGTAAGTCCTAACTCAATCAACTAGTGCCAAATAATCAAAACAAATGTCAAAAACAACAGTAGGCGCTTCAGCAGATATATTTGTAACTTACAGGACTAGCACAGAGCAGGGTTGTGAGAATAACACCAATCAAAGGTGTTACTGTGATTATTTTTGAAGTAAATTTAGGGAAGAATTCATTTGATAGCACTGCCATGAAAGCAAGATTTTGAGTGAGTTGAAGATAACATCTGTATGCCAAAATCTTTGAGTTAACCATTAGAGGAATGCCAAATTTCAGTGCAAACAACTTAAATGCATAAATTATTCTAACACCTCTATTACCTCCAACAATAGTTGGCACTAAAACAACCTGGAAAGTACTAATAGCCAGTCCCTGAAAAGATGGGAAAAGGATGGAATTGTTAAATCAAATACCAGACACTTTTGTATAAATAATGCATAAAAAATTGCAGACATTTCCAGAACTATGGCCCCAGGGAACTTCTGGCACATTCCATCCTCATATTTCTTATATTATGATACTGAGCTTTAATCATTTGAATATGAACACTTCATAGTACTGTCATCATATGAATGGCTACTCAAGAAATGGGCATAACCATCAATAATTTTGGATTTTAGGACAGAAAATTCATGATTGTCTCCTTAAACTGCAATCTTATAGATGCATTATTCAGTCTGGCAAGGTATCTACCAAACCCCACATATAAATATTTTTACGGTGTCAGAATCACTTTGGTTTTTAAGCTACTCTTCATGTGGACAGCACCAAAGGTTCAGTGGTATTAGGACAGGAAGCATTCAAGATGACTGATCCATCAACTGTTCAGCATTTTGTTTCTTCCAATCATCAATTTCATTTTGCAAAAATTCAAGTGATGTTTAGGGAGGTAAGGATCAAGCCTATCTAACATACTGCAGCATCAACTGGAACAAGTTGACCGGCAAGAAGCTTTGTTAGGAGAGGTGTCATGATGATAGCTCCAATGGTTGAACACCTACAAAAAATAAGAGATAAAATTAGTGAAAATGTCTAACTGAAGTCCAAGTTTACAGATACTGATAAAAGATGTAGATTTTTCACAAATTCTCGTTCTTCACTAACCAGTTGCTCTAGTATGGAGAGAATCTATCTCACATACCATACGCATTTTCAGTTAAATGCAAAACGCACACAACTCATATTCACATTTGAATTCCAGAATTAATAGAAAATGCACTTACGTTGTCATCAGAACTGAAAGTGCTACATTTCCTTTTGATATATAGGTTGCGACATTAGATGCTTGACCTCCAGGACAGCAAGAGACCAAAATAAGGCCAGTAGCCAGAGGTGCCGACAGTTTTAGAGTCTGAAAATCAGAAAGAACGTGGTTAGCAATTATAAAATCTTTACCAAGTTCATCATGATGCAGAATAATGACTACAAGTTGTTCACAGAATAACACAATTATGATTGTTGTCCACACCAATTTAACACAAAAGCAGGAGCCCCGTAAGCAGAGCAGGCCTAGCTGAAACCAAAAGTTATCACTGACTTGTGACAAAAATGACTTGTGCTCCTTGTAGATCTCCAATCTTAATCAAACTTACGACTGATTCAAATTGCAGTATATTTATATGATCCTTGATCAACCTTCCATGGCCAACGACTAAATATTGATAAAACAAATAGTAATAAATTGAATTTCAAAAGGGAAATTGCAAGCTAAACCTCAACATGACATGACCAGGTAAAAAATATTGCAAAAAATAATTAACGGAAAATATATGCTGCACTTACTAAAGCTAAGGGTTCCTAAAATATCACCTTCATCCTAAATAACATCATTGGAAGAAAGAAGGGTCCACAACATTGATCCATTTAACTATTTTTTAGAACCATTAGAATCAGAATTAGTTTATCCAGTGTTCAATGACAAAACCCAGAGCACACATTCATTCTTATGGTTTCTATAATCTGGAATGACATAAAGATAAAGGAACACACCCAATGGGAAAGTAATGCTATCTTCTAAAAAAAGTTGCGAACAAATACCATTGCGATAGTAAAGCCTAACATTGGTTTGATCAAGTACTGAGCCAAAAATCCGACACCCACCTGCAACAAACGAAAATATTTTTAGGGTAGGCAAATGAAAGAGACTTCATTCAGTTAATGTAACTGTCATAATTAAAAGTAATGCAAAAGATGCGAGTCAGTTCTTACAGTCCATGGATTTCTTAAACATCGTCTAAAATCTTCAAACGTCAAAGTCAATCCCATTGAAAGCATGAGGAAACCAAGGCCAAGGGTGAAGAGATCTGTCTCCAACCATGTAACCTATAGAAAGGCACCTACAGTTGGTTAAGCAACAATATAAATTTTGTAAGTACAGTATTATCATTAGAACAACAACCAAATATTACCGCAGAAGGCTTGTAGATGCCAACAATGGTGCCCAGTATAACCTGTCTCCATAAGTAAACATTTTAGTATGCAGAAGCAATATTCTGGAACAAGCATTTCAAATTCAAGATTGAGTTTTGCCAAATACATCTAGTGAAATTAAAGTGTTTATGAAATCTAATCAAACTGTAACAAGTATACTTGAAACATACCCACACGGGGAAAAGGGTTGTAAGAGTTTCAATTATCCTTTCATACGTGGTCATTCCACTGGGTGAGCTACTGGGAACATCTCCAGGTACATCAGTGGCAGCTTTGCACAAAATTTGTGAGTTCCTACACAAAGCAGTCAAATTCTTATTATACGGCATAAAAATGTAGTAGCAATCAATTAAAGTTCAAGAATCTTTTAATTTTCCTGTATATGCATATAAACTAAACACGCTGAAAATAACGGCCTAAAGGATAAACTTGTATAATAAGAATCAATTAAAACGTAACAGTACTAGATGGTGCTCAAAGCTGGGGCAGAAAAAGGATAAACTTAAAAGTACTACCAAAAGGAACTTTTATATGGTGAATTCAAAACAACAAAAGAGTCCCATCAAATGATGGATATAATAAAAGTTCCAAGAGTACAAGGGCAACCCGAAGGGGATATATATACTTTTTCCTTTGGGCTTTTTTGAACAACTATGATAAGGTTAACCATGTTAATAGTATGCTTTCCACATAATTAACTAACCAAAACCATTACAGCATGATCATTTTATCATACTGATAATAAAATTAAATCAAAATAACACGCAGTGATCAAGCACTACGTTACAAAAAGATACCTCGAAGGGGCTGCAACAGCAACAACAGGGCTTCGCAGCTGGCTTTGGATTGTACAAATTCTTCCATTTTCAGGGACAGGGACCCCGAGGTCTTACCATTCAATCCACAGCATAATTTATTAAAAACATTTAATACATAGCAAAGAAACTGCAATAGCAGATAATAAGGCAAAAAAAAAAAAAAAAAAAAAAAAAAAAAAAAAAAAAAAAAAAAAAAAAAAACAATTCCACAGCGATAATTTAATAAAACATTAATACATAGTCAAAGAACTGCAAAGATAATAAGCTAGAGTAATAAGGCAAAAAAAATAAAAAAAAAAAAAAAAAAAAAAAAAAAAAAAAAAAAAAAAAAAAAAAAAAAAAAAAAAACAGAAAGCACATAAATATAACCGAGCAGAAACCAGACATACCCAGATAAGATCTTAGCCGACTGGAAGAGGAATAAGAGTTTGGCCTATAAATAGCTTCACGATAATGCAAATTGCAATCTTTTAGCACAAATCTAGATATGGAAGAAGCCATTGAAGCAGCAGCAAGAAGGGATCACGAGGGAGATGAAAGGGTAATGGGTTTAAGAGGGGGTTTTTAACCTTCTAAAGTTTTGACATGTGAGTGACTCCAAAAATGCCGGAGTCTAGTTTAAAGCGGATGTACTGGAGCTATCGTGGAAACCGATGAGCCACACACACACACACACACAGTGAAATGCAATTCTTATAATCTAATCCAGAGGCTTGATTGAATGATTTCTCGACTTGACTCAAATTTTGGTGATACAAAGCAAATGTGTCACGTTTGCTGTCGTTTTGTACAGAATTTGGGTCCACAGTGTCTAAATTTCTCTGACCTGAAAACGATCAAAACAGAAAGTGGTTTTCCCATGTACGCATCGGAGAGAAAGAAGGAAGGAGTTCATTTGCAACCGCAGTAAACAACTATTCAAATAATTGAGGAGAAAAACATTTATGGGTTTGAATTACAGAGATGAGCGCTCAACGTTATCCAGTAACAAAGCTGTTTATGATTTTTTTGGAATGTTTACAGATATTTTTTTTTCTCACTATTTCAATATTAAATTATTAATCACCCTGTAATTTTTTTTTTACCACCACCCGAGGTGATAACCCAGTGATAAAGGCCTTGTCATTTACCATCAAGATTCCATCTTCCATGAAAGCATTTCATTACACATAATATTTAAATATTGAATCTGGTGAGGAGTTTGGTCCATTTGAAGTGGGTTTCTTCAGGCCAGGCTCCTGCTATCATGGGTTAAAGATTACAACGCTATGATTCTACATGAATGGATCCTATAAAGGTGTATTAAACAAGGACATCAATGCTTGACCGATGGCCGAGTCGACGGGTACAACGACTAATACACCTAATTATCCCTTTTTTTGTTAAAAAAAATTCATATTTATCTTAAAAATGCATGTAAAAGTTATGCTAGATATGCATTCATTTGATTGCATTTATCGAATCATAACGACAATTAATGTAATACCTTTATTTAATTGGATTTATCAAATATAATCTAAAACTATATTTATTACTGCTATCCAAATGGAGCCTAAAAAAATTTGTTTTTTCTAAACAAGAAAATGTACTAGTGCTGCGACTTGAACTAGTGACAATAGCTTCTTTACCTGCCAAACAGCACGCAAAGAGCACGGCCACCTCCAGTGGGCCTAAATCACAGTATATATTTCTATCCAGGATATGGGCCCCTAGATCCAAGTCCAACAAAGTATATGGAAACCGAAAAAATAGTCTATTGGGCTTTCCATTTTTATTTCGTGCAACAATTGATAACTCAGAAGTACCCGCTTTTAAAAAAGTCCAAATGTGCATTCTGGGCCTTCCGTCAGCTTTGCTTCTGCTCTTTATTAGGCTTTCTTGTCGGTTGAGGATTGAGAGGCATATCGTGTGGCCATAATACTCCTATCATATACAATATGAAATAGATTTTGAATGAAAATTTAGAAAATCCAATCAATGGGTTTTAATTATTTGAGATTAATATAGAACAGTGTTATTGTCACAACGATAAATTTGTTGAAATGATACTTTAACTATCAGTAATCCAAGAAAAAAAAAATCTGGCAGTTGCATAATAGTTCAAGGACCAAAATGCACTTATTTTATAGATAAAAACAAGAAATTTACTATAAAAAAAAGGAAAATTCAGAGTTTCAGCTGTAATTTCTCTTTATGGCAGTTTATATCATCCATGGAGACGCGCAAAAAGGTTAGTTTATGTTTTCTTATTCATGCTGTTAAACTTCAACTTAATTCTAGATTTGGGTTTCATAAATGACTCTAGTAAATATTTAAGATTTATGTTTTAAGTTCTCATACATGACTCTAGGAAATTTATATGTAAGATTCTTAAAAGGCCTAATGCATAGATTTTTTCCTGGAATTTATGCGATTTGTTTCGTGACATCTTCAAATTTATGTGGAAACTATTATAATTCTACATTTTCACATTTTAGTAATAATTATGTTCGGTAGTAAAACCAGGACTCTAGAGTTAAGGAGAGCACTTATGTAGAGTTATTTTGGGTGCAGGCAGCCCTCTACCATCCATCCCATTGCATTCCATCGTCTTGTATTGTACTGTATCGTATTAAACCAGATACATCCATTGAGTGAAGAAAGCTTCTCTTGTTCGCTTCTTTCCCTATTTCCGGATCTCCACTTTATAGATATATTATAGGTTGCCTATAAAATTTTTTGAAGTCACGCACCCCCTCAATTGCATGTGGCTCAGCCACTGATTGTGCACCCTGTTTAAATGAAATAACTTTATAAAAGTTTAATCTTACTCTACACCTTTACATTTTATTTTTGCAAATCGTATAATTATTATTGAAATATAAAAGTGTAAGATCATGATAAGTCCTTCATAAATTTGAAGATACCACAAGACAAATCGTGTAAATTTCAAAGAAAAATCTATGAATTTGGCTATTCTTAAAATCTTTGTTGAATCATTCTTGTAGTCATGTTGACTTTGATTAACATAATAAGTCATAAATAAAGGTAATAAAATCAAAGATATTTTTAATATAAATATTACATTATGTTTTATTATGGCTTACCAAATATAGAAAAATAGTTAGTCTAACCAATTACTCTTTCCGTTATTTTTACATAGAAAAATTTTAATTTTCAAATTCGCCACATTGAAAAGAGTCTCAACTGACTTTGTCCAAACATTTGACCAATTACGCCAAATTCAAAATACTTTTTCAATAACTAAAGGTGAGTGGAAGGTTAAATGAATATAAGTTTTCATACTTTTCATATAATTTTCGTGAATAATGACAAAAACAAATTCTCTTCAAAGGTTAGGGTATAATTTTTTTTTTTCATCCATCCCTTCATTCTAACAACACATTTAAAGCCTTATTTGAGATGAAATGCAATTTAACGCATGCATTAGTGGAAGAAATAAATGAAATATGAGTAAATTAGAAAAAAAAAAAAGGAAAAAGAAATTGACTAAAAGACTTTCTTAATCTAAGTGAAAATTTAATTATTCTTTATAAAAAAACGGAGAAAGTAATAATTAAGCTAACCAATGTAACTAAATCCCATATACACGACTGGTGTGGTAAAGAAGTGGGTTGACAACATTATGTGTATACTATTTTTATTTACTGATAAGCTAATCTGAAAAATCAATTTTTGAATACTGTATTAAATTTATTTATTTAGTTAGTTAGACTGGTAAACTTTTTTGAAGTTTTAGAACGTAGCTAAAGATAAGATTATGGACCATCCTGTCCTTTTTGCAAGTGCAAGATATTTAGAAAGAAGCTTCTCAATTTTGGCACAAAGTCTTCACCTAGCTAGCTAAGAGGAACCAACATTTCTTGAATGGTTTTACTTATTTAGTTTGGCACAACCAACTACATTTCTACTATTTTCTTTGATTTTGGTTGACGATGATGTTAATTGCGAATCAAGTATTGTGGGTTCCAAATTAGATGAGATCCTTCTAAATGCAAATCAAGAATCAGTACTTGTCACATTTGGAATTTCACGTTCTTTAAAAAAACTATTAAATTTATCTAATTGATAATAAATTATTAAGTAAATTAACTATATTACTTTTAATTTAATACTAATCCTCTAAGAAAATCATTAAATTGAAATAATAAATATTGATCATATACAAAGGGTAAATATAGAAAAAAAAATATATTTATTATTTATTGAAACCACAAATGTGACAAGTATTTTAAAATAATCTATTTTCTTAAAATATATATGATAATATTTACTCTTTTCCTTTCAAAATAAGTATTATTTTTTCATTATAAGTTTTCTTATTTATTTATTTATTTATTTATTTTAATGGGTACTTTTTATTTTCTTTCCTTGGAAGTAACATTAGCAACTCTCCAAGTTCCAACTACTTCCTACTACAGCGTATGTTGTCCCCTTGTCCAACGCCATCTTACCCTGTCTTTATCTTTTTACCCTCCCATGTTTTGTGCTTGCTAGTTCCCACCAATATGAATTACCCCATCCATCCCAAATTATAAGTATTTACCATTTCTAATATTTCCTTTACTCTAAAATTTTACCATTTTCAGATGAAAAAATAAATTTGTTTTATTCCTTTATTATATCAAAACACAAAGGTGGAAAATAACTATAGAAAAAAAATTGACAATTTACCGTTGCCTTCTTTCAATATTTTTCTTCATTTTCTTTCCAAACAAACAGTTAAGGTTTTTACATGAGAATTAAAGAAATCATAAATTCTTTTAAATTATAACAAAATTAAGGATAACTTGTAAAAATAAATAATGGTAAAATTGAAAATTATTATTTATTGCTACTCAAAATACTCAAAATGTCTTATATTGTACTCTTTCTATTTAGAAATAAGTGTCAATATTTGTACTTTTCTCGTCGCTTAAGAAATCATTTTGTTTGTCTAATTTGTAATAAATTTTTTAGTAAATTAATCATGTTACCATTATTTACTTAAAGAGAGAGATTTTGAGAATTATAGCAATTAATGTTGATCATTTGCAAAAGGTAAAAATGAGAAAAAAATTATTATTTCTAATTTTATAAATGTGACACTTATTTGTGGACATATTACTTTCACAAATGTGGCTTATTTGCGGATGGAGGAATTATATGCATTGTATTTAATTCATATATATCGACAGAGCCAGGAACTAAAGTTGAGGGCTAAAAAAAAAATTCAAGAGTTAAGGAGGGTAAAATTGAAAAATTTTACTATTTTAGAGGATAAAATAAAAAATTTTAATACTTTATGAGTAAATTCTTTAAAAAAAATTTTGTTAGAAGGCAGGGGCCACCCCTAGACCCTTGAGCTCTGTCAATGCCTTCGTCCCAAAATAAGAAAGTTTAAGGTTTTTACACGAGGATTAATAAATCAATTAATTCTCTTACATTATAATAAAATTAAGGATAATTTGATTTGTTATTCTATATTTCAAAATCAAGAGTAACTTGTAAAAGTAATTATTGTATCTAGTGTAAAAAAGGGTAAACATTAGAAAAATATTATTTATTACTCCTTAAAATACTCAAAACACGTATATTTTGGGACAAAAAATTATTTTTTTTACGAAAAGAGTAATTTCTATCTTTTTTTTTTTAAAAAAAAAAGAAAAATTATTCATGAGTAATGTGAGGTTGAGAGTTCTAATTTAATCTCCTCACTGATAATTGGAGATTGGCAATTAAAGGTAAATAGTTGAATTTGATTGTACTGCTTCAATATGAGTAGGTAAGATATTAGATAATTAGGGTTCTTGCTTGAAGTTCAATCTTAATGAGCAATGCTAATTGTTTATTTTTTAAGATTAAATATTGAAATGTACTGAATAATCAGTAATAAAAATTTTGGCCAATTAGAAATACCATGTTATTACAAATTTATCTTGAATTTGTAAAGGAATGTATGGAGTGGCGAGCTAGAAACAATTTTCAGTGGGATTATTTATTTAATTTAATTTTTAGTGAAGTCAATTAGATTAAAAATTCTAAAATTTTTCACTTAAATATCTACTTTTGAATTTTTATAAAACTTATTTTTATAAATTTTTTTATTAATTTAATTCATAAACAGAGGGTAATGAACTCGTTAAAAAATTCCCTATTTTTGAATTTAATGGAAACTGTTATTAGGTTATTACTCGCAGTTGCATCACACACCACTATTGGATTATTGTTAAATCAAAAAGGAAAAATTAAATTTAAATTTCAAAATTAAAAACGATGGACCTGGGACTTGGATGCATTAATTCTCATTTTGACTTCTAAAATTTTTATTAATAATTATTTATTCCACGTTAATATATTTTAAATAAAAATAATATTCAAATCCGCTAATATCCACGGGACTGAAACTTTAAATCACAGCTGAGTCGCCGTTGGGAAATTCTATGAAGTTACAACGATAACAACAACATAACCATCGTATTGACGTCAATGCATCGACCCATGAGCTATGATGGAATCAATGACAAATTGGCAATGGCAACACCACCATCAGGACCTACAGGAACAGGAGCCTTCCAACTTTCAAAATGTGTGTTTTTGCTCAAAAGATTTATGCTTTTTGTTTTTGGATTATAACAATCTTTTTTCTCAACCTGAATTAAATACTAAAAGGAGATAATAAACTTGAATCTTTAAATTATACTCCTATGTTCTTTTTATATAGATAGATTTTTCTTTTTTTTTATTATTCTTATATATATATATATATAATTACTTTATTTGGTAACTCTGAAAAATACATCAAATTAAATTTTTTTTTTTTACCATTGTTGTATTTTGCTGTTAATTTATTTTTTTTGGAAAATCTCAAGATAACGGCAGACAGAAATTAAATTGAGCATTGATTGTTAAGAGAAATTTTGGAGATTTATTTTTTAAAACAAATTCCCATTTGCATTTTCTTATCGCTTTTTGTTTCCAAAAGTCAGCTCGGTTTTATATGGCTTGAGAGTAATATTGCGCACCATTTATCATAAAATATTTTGGGACAATTTCTTCAAAGATGGACTAAAACAAAATTTATATTTGTCTTTCTTGTATTTTTATTTTCAAATGGATGATTTCGACTGTCTCTCCAGTGATAACCTCTTTTACTGTTGAAGAAATATTTAAATCGATTAAAAGTTTATTGCATATAGGTACAACTTCTGAGCTTGTATCCGAGTCTTGAGGAAAATCATTAATGTCTAATTGATTTGGTCAATTCATGTTGGAAGGAAAAGTTATGGATTTGCAATTTCTAGCAGTGTTTCGTCCAAATTTACAGGTCTATGCTTTTATGAAGTTAATGAGACTATAATCAAATGAAAATTTTGACTCCTAAATTTTAGTTAATTTTTGTGCGCAAAAAAAAAAAAAAAATCAATGAAGTTTCAAAAATTAAGTTTTGGAATTTTGAATTTTTATTTCTAATGTGATCACTTAATATACTGTTAATTAAGCAACAAACACAATTATTCCCTCGAAAACTTAAGGGAGACAACGCATTTATGGCTAGATTAACCCAATAAACGTGAATAAATTATATTTTCATTTTAGAAGAGTAGTTAATTTGATTTTTGGGATAATATAGGCAGAAAAGAAAAAAGAGTTAGTTTAACTAATTCCTTAATATTGGTGAAAAAACAATCGTTCTTATATAAAAAGAACGAAGCGAGTATCTTAATTAACTCTTTCTTCTTTATTTAAAAAAATATTATGATATTTCTAATTTTTGCTTCAAACTAACTATTGAGCCCTTATATTCAAAAAGTTAGTTGTTTTATGGTTAGTTAGGCTTATTTTTTTGATAGAAAGACACGATAGCGAATTTATAGAAAAATTACGTCATAATAATTTATCAAAAGTAGAGGGATAAAAATATTTATTAAAATATAATTTAAGGAGGCAAATATGCTCATACTAAAATGAAAGTTAATTTAAATAGTATCATATTAAAGCAAAAAAAAAAAAAAAACAAATATTTAAGTCAATTAGAATTTTATAAATAATAAATTTTATAGAAAAAAAATAATATTATACATGTAATACAATAATAAATAAGATACTATTAACAGGAAAATAGTTGTTAATTCATTTATACTATGATAATCTAATATGGACTAAAATTTAAGAAAAGTAAAGAACATAATAATATGTAAATAAATTATATAACGGATATATTAATTTTGTTATAGTTTGAATTGCACAAAAATTAAAAAATTTAGTTAATCAATGAGAATATAGTAGTTTGACGATTATATTTATTAAAAAAAATATATCAAATAATGGTAAAATAATAAATTTTGAATATTATTCATTTATAAAAAAGAAATAGAATAATAATTTAGAGCGGATAAGAGAAAAATTATGGAAAAAAAAGGAAATATACGAAAAGAAATCAATAACTAATATTAATTTAAATAGAATTATTATTTAAAACTAATATTTATGATTGTGATAAGAGCACACATTAGGTACTCAAAAGAGACATCAAAAGGAATAAAATAAAGCAAGATCCTAACCACCAATAAAATAGCTACTATAATATAACGCTGCACAAAATGATGCAAAGCTTACCTAAAAGCACAAAAAGATAAATGCCAAATGTCATTTTTATCCTCATTCCCATTTCATGACCAAACCAAAACTATTGCTTCTTTCTTAGTTGTTGACTGGTTAATGCTCTTTGAGTCTTTATTAGTGTCTCTACAAAGGGTGGGCTTTCATGCCAGCTGTGTCCCTCTTATGTCTTGGCCAAGGGCTTGTGTCCTATTGCCACATGTCAACAAAAGCCCTTAAGATCTTAAAGCACCAATAGCTCCACTTTGATTGGTCAATTTCTACAACTTACAAACCGGTAAGTGTCGCGCCTTTAATAAGTTTATGTCAATCAACGGTTAATAAGTGTGTTTTTTAACCATTACAAGATGTGAAATGTTGTAGATGATGAAAAATAATGGTGTAGCCACATATCTAATTGACTGGGAACCGTTTGATTAACCTTGTCGTCCGACCTTTCCTCATCTGCTAAAGATTGGATGTGGATGCGTCATATACCATGCAAATGCAAGCTTTTTTTTTTTTTTTTTCTGGGTTTTGGGTAAAGTCATTACAAGGATCAGTTTCTTGTTAATGTCTAAACTACGATTATCCTTCATTAAATCTTGATATAAATCTAGAATATACCCTTTAATCTTATAAAAAATTTTTATTTAATCAAATATTTGGGTTAAAATTTGATTAATTTCAAGAGCATTTTAATACAAATCATTTAAATTTAATAGAATATTAATACAAAGTTATATTAAGAAAAAAAATTAAAATTTAATGGGATGAAAGTGAACAAAAATTTTAATATTTTCATTTATCTTCATAAAATAATTTATAAAAAAATATTTTTCTCAAGTTTTCGTTATTTGAAGCATTCAGAAAAATAAATCAATAAAAAATATTTTGCTGGTTAAATGAAAAATATTTCAAGAGAGTTTCTAGAAAGTAACAAATTTATTATAATTTTATAAATATATATTTTCCATTTATTAGTCACAAATGGTGAATACCATCGGTCATCATTCACTACCAGATATTGTCATAAGCATAATTTACTATTTTATTGCATGTTTCTCATATTTAATAATAAAATTTTAAAATATAATATGTTTATTATTATAAATATTTTTATAGTCTTATGAATTAAATATATTAATATTGTAATCAAATAATAAAAAATAAATTAATTATAAAAAATATTTTCAAAACAAATTATTTTTCACAAACAAACACCGTAAAAATACTAAAATTTTCTTCAAAACTGTAATGTGGCTATCGGACAAATTAAGAGGGAAAAGTACAAAGTAGTATAAAAGTCCACAAAAATAAAATTCGATTTTACACACGCATGCTCGCGCGTGAAGAGTACTAAATACGTTTTGTATTTCAAAAATTACGACAATTAAAAACAATGTAGGAAACAGAAAAAAACGCTTCCATTGCTGCCAGCGAAACTACACAGCTTTCTGATATTTCTTTCTTCAGCTTTATGTTTTATTTATTTATTTTATTTTTTATTCTATTACTACTTTGTTAGGCTCGTCTCGTGATACCTTCTACAAAACCTTTCCTTTTCTCTCTCTCACTCCACAAACTCAACTCACAGTTCCTCCCTCATTCTTTCCCTCCTCCGCCATCTCTTATGGAATCTCGCCGGAAAACCACTTTTGGTTTTGGAGAAAACCGGCGGCAGAAGGCACCCAGCATATAAAAACAAAACAATATACTTCTATCCTTTTAATTTTTGGTCTTATTCCAAAAGTATATTGTCCAATGGCAGTAATTTTACACTCTGTTGTTGTTTCTTTTGTTTTGCTTCTGCTACTGCTGAGTCATGGTCGAGTTGACTCGGAACCTGTACAAGACAAGCAAGCTCTCCTTGCGTTTCTCTCTCGAGTTCCTCATGCTAATCGCCTCCAATGGAACTCTTCCGCTTCGGCTTGCACGTGGGTTGGAATCGTTTGCAACGCCAACAATTCCTCCGTGTACGAACTTCGCCTTCCTGGCGTGGGACTTGTAGGTCAGATTCCACCCAACACACTTGGCAAGCTGAGTCAGCTCCGAGTTCTAAGTCTCCGATCAAACCGTCTCTCCGGCGAGATCCCCGCTGATTTCTCCAATCTAACCCTCCTCCGTAGTCTTTATCTCCAAAAAAACGAGTTTTCAGGTGATTTCCCGCCGAGTCTACCTCGGCTGAATCGGTTAACTCGTCTCGATCTTTCCTCAAACAACTTCAGTGGTTCAATCCCTTTTGCAGTGAACAATTTGACTCATTTGACTCGTCTTTTTTTACAAAACAACCAGTTTTCGGGCACTTTACCAAGTATAAGCTCTTCAAATTTGATAGACTTCAATGTATCAAACAATCATTTAAATGGTTCAATCCCTTCATCTTTAACAAAATTCCCTGCATCCTCATTCGCCGGTAATTTAAATCTCTGCGGTGGCCCATTGCCGCCTTGCAATCCATTTTTCCCTTCTCCAGCTCCATCTCCATCAGAAAATCCTGAAACTCCAGTTCACGAAAAGTCCAAGAAACTCTCCACTGCCGCCATTGTTTTAATTGCAGTTGGCTCCGGTTTAGTTGCTTTCTTGCTCTTACTCTTTCTACTATTATGTCTCCGTAGAAAGCAACGCCGGCAGCCACCGAAGGTGCCAAAACCAGCTGCCGCGGCACGCGCGGTGCCAGTTGAAGCAGGGACATCATCGTCTAAAGATGATATCACAGGTGGGTCAACGGAGGCCGAAAGGAATAAGCTAGTATTTTTCGAAGGAGGCATTTATAGCTTCGATTTGGAGGATTTATTGAGGGCATCAGCGGAGGTGTTGGGGAAAGGAAGCGTAGGAACTTCCTACAAGGCGGTGCTTGAAGAAGGCACAACCGTAGTAGTAAAGAGGCTCAAGGATGTGGTGGTCTCAAAAAGAGAGTTCGAGATGCAAATGGAGGTTCTTGGAAATATTAAGCACGACAATGTAGTTCCATTAAGGGCTTTTTACTATTCTAAAGATGAGAAGCTACTGGTTTATGATTTCATGGCCGCCGGCAGCTTGTCTGCTCTTCTTCACGGTAAAGTTCCGGATTTGTTTTTTACAGTCAAATGTAGTTTTTTTTAATGTTTTGATTGAATTTAATTTTTTTAAAAATGGTCAAAATTCCATTCAGAACGGGACATGTATTTTTCTAATAATGTTCCAGCTGGACAGCTTAGGAAGTCACATTATAGTATTGTTTTATTCTTTTAATTTAATTTAATTATTTGTGTTTAGATTATGTTATTTTTTGTGGATATTCGAAAAAAAAAGGGGGGCATGTTTCTTTCTTTGGCATAATTTTTTATTTTCTTATTTTAAATTGAAAAACATTCTTAGAGTGGGAAGTAAGCAACCTGGGACTGGGAGTGGTATATTGTAATAATTGTTGTTATTATTATTAGGTGTCATATTTGTTTGTTTTTACGATTGTGCCACCGACATTGCAACTCACGTTCATGATTTGCTTTGCAATACAAACTAGCCTAATCATCAAAAATGGAACCACCGACATATCATTTGTCTTTACTTTTTTTTAATCATCAATCCAAACCAATTGTTAGTTGACGGAGTAACTGACGCCTCCGTCGATTTATATTACAGGTAGCAGAGGTTCAGGCCGGACGCCGTTGGACTGGGACAATCGGATGCGAATAGCTATGAGCGCAGCAAGAGGCCTTGCTCATCTCCATGTAGTAGGTAAAGTAGTCCACGGGAATATCAAATCATCCAATATCCTGCTTCGACCCGATCACGACGCTTCCGTTTCGGACTTCGGACTCAACCCGCTCTTTGGCACTGCCACTCCGCCAAGCCGCGTTGCAGGTTATCGTGCTCCAGAAGTTGTTGAAACCCGTAAAGTCACCTTCAAAGCTGACGTGTACAGTTTCGGCGTATTGCTCCTCGAACTCTTAACAGGGAAAGCACCAAATCAAGCATCGTTAGGCGAAGAAGGGATTGACTTGCCAAGGTGGGTCCAGTCAGTGGTTCGAGAGGAATGGACGGCTGAGGTTTTTGATGTGGAGTTGATGAGATACCATAACATTGAGGAAGAGATGGTACAATTGTTGCAAATAGCAATGGCGTGCGTTTCGACGGTGCCTGATCAGAGACCGGCAATGCAAGAAGTGTTGAGAATGATTGAGGATATTAATAGAGGAGAGACTGATGATGGATTACGACAGTCGTCCGATGATCCATCAAAAGGATCGGACGGGCATACTCCTCCGGCGGAAACCAGAACTCCGCCTAGAGCTGTTACACCGTAGAAATTCCTTTTCTAAATTAAAGGGGTAAAAAATTAAACAGTTAAAGGGAAAAAAAAAGGAGGAAGAAAAGGAAGTGGTTGGTGACCCCACCTTGAAATGTGCACACAGTGCGTAAGTAAACAGTGGTAAAGTGCTCATTTGATTGAGGGAGCTTTGGAGAGTGGCCCCCAATAAGTGTTTTTAAGATTTTTTTTCTCATTTTTTGGGTTAATTTTATTTTTTTTCAATTTTAATTTGCAACATTTTTACAGGTGAAGGGTAATTTCAGGAGGATTTGAATTGTTTTTAGAGGGGAATTAGGGAGTTCCATGAACTGATTGGAATTTGACCCAATTGATGGATTTAGTCTTTTTCTTTTTTAATTTAATTCTTTATTTCATATATCCTTTTTTATAAAAAAATATCTTAGTCTCTTGTTTTCAGGCACAGTTGTTGGTAATTTTTAATTTTTTATTTATTAAAAGTTAAATGGAGAGAATTAAATAGGAATTTGGCAAAGGTCCAAATATTGAAAAACAGTAAGCGGCAATAAAAAATTGTTTTTTTGCGTAAATTTTATTAATTTGTGCACTGGACCGCCAGAGTGTAGAAACTGAGCAGGCATTGTTTTATTATCCTGTGCGCCCACTTGGTTACAAAATGCTTAGGCATTCGATGAATCGATCATGACCCAGTCACCCAGTAGTTCAAGAGAGAGAGCGCGTCTGTTCCTATATTATACATCCGGGTCTATAATAATATAATATTAATATTTGATAATCTAAAGCCAAGGCCCCACCTCATTGACCAATGATGGATAATGAGGTGCCACGTGTAAGATATAGAATAGGGATTAGTATTATTTGGAGTGTAACTTGTTGGTGGGGTAGGAATTGTCGGGTTGTGGGTGGGAACAGGCTGGCCGGCTTCTTTACTCTTTCTTCGTTTCTGACATTCAACACTCAAAGAGTAGTGTCAGCCCGTGGATCCACGCCAATGTGGGCCCTAATCATTCTTGCAGAACCCTTCCATCACTATGGTACTGGCCTTTGGAAGGTCTTTCTTGTCTTTTCCATTTTTCACTCCTCTTAATCTATAATTTGTCATATATATAAAATATTGAGAGGAACCCTACATATTCTTATTCGCTTGTGACAAACATTTTTATTTTTATAAGGAATAATTTTTAGGTAGTCAAATAATTGGCTTGTGTATTTAATTAATTAATGATGTAGCTTTAAAGTATGATACTTGAGATACACATTTTACCAATTGAGGGCGACACTCAATTGCTTACCCATTGCATGTTACTCATCGTAAGTGTTCTCAAAATCGGATCGGTTAAATCGTGAACCATCGATTAGTAAAAATATCTCTATAATAAAAAATTATAATTGAAATAAAATTAAAATATGATAAAATTGCATTAAAATCTATAATTGAGGCTGTTTTGATACTACGTATATTCCATTAATTTTGATATTTTTAAATTTTTTTTCAATTGTATAACAATTTTAAAAAGTCAAGACAGCACTCGAACCTTACAGGGATTTTTGAGATCGTTTTTGTCTTTTTTTATGATAAGAAATTAATATGAGAGTAATTTAATCATTTTTTTAATGAGATGGTTGAATTATTTTTTCAATTCACGTGAAAAAGTCAAAAAATATCAAACCGAAGTAGCACTTAAGCGTGTTTGGGCGTGACAACAACGCGCCGTGCTCTCGTCGTTTTCTTGTTATACTAATCTCTTTGCCTTTGAGAACATAAAAGGTAGCCCACATCTGGTATGCCGCGTGTACACATTTGAGTGCCCAAGTGACAAAATTAGCCCTGGAAAATTGTCGTCTTCGTATGCCCGTGTCAAAAGTTTTCTAGGGCACAGACCCCAATTAGGGAGAGCACATTTTCGTGGGTTTGATGCACCGAAAGAGGACCCTTAGCAACACTTTGTGCTTGAAATTATAACTTGACTTTTTTTAATTAAAATATTTATATATTGATTATTTTCAGAAACATTAATTAGTAGAATATTAAAATCAAATGTAATTTATTCACTCCGTCCAATAATAACAGGTCTACAAGTATTTTCATAAAAAGTACAATTTTTATGGTTAAAATAATATACTTTTCCAATAACACTCTTATTCAACATTCCCTCATATTTATTTATTGAGAGAAAATTTCTATTTTGGGTATTCATTTTATATAAAAAATTTAGTTAAAATAGAAACTTATGAGAATGATGCAATTGTTCAAAGTCTAAAATATCATTATTTGATTTGAGTTTCTGAGTTAATTGGGCATGGTTAGCAAGAGATAGTGACAGATAAAAAAAAGATATGGCATTTAACGCCCTTGTGTTTCCAAAGTAAGTGAACGGTTATTTTATAACAGAATTGTGAACTGTTGAGAGTTAACAAGTGTGCTCATATTAAAAATATATTGGACACATATCTATTTTGCTTACAGGCTAAGTTGTTTAAATGTGCTCAATTTACAAATGTGTGCTCATTTTATTATCTCTGTCTATCAGCATTATGTTTTTATTACATACGATAGTGTGTATTATAAAGTTATACACCTTTTTTCCTTTCCCCTTTTCAAATAAGGGTTTCGAAATATAGAGAGATTTCCATAAAAAGACAATTTTTATGGTTTAAAATTATATACTTTTCCAATAACACTCTTATTCAACCATTCCCATCAATACTTTATTTTTATTGATGAGATAATAACTTTCTATTTTTGTGGTGTATTCTTATTTTTTATATAAAATTTTAGTTTAAATATGAATAACTTATGAGAATGAGTGCAATTGTCAAAGTCTAAAATATCATTATTTGAGGTTGAGTTTCTGAAGTTTAATTGTGGCATGGTTAGCAAGAGATATATGTGACTAGTGATAAAAATAAATGATATGGCAATTTAACGCCCTTGTGTTTCCAAGTAATTCTGTGAACTGGTTTATATAACAGGATATGGATCTGTATTTGAGGGAAGTTAACAAGTGTGTGTCTCATAATTAAAAATTATATTTGGACATCATTATGCTATTTGGCTTATTCAGGTCTAAGTTTGTAAATGTGCTCAATTTTACAACATGTAAAAGTGCATCATTTTATTATTCTCTGGTGCTATCTAGCATTATGTTTTTATACATAAAAATATATTGGACACATATCTATTTTGCTTACAGGCTAAGTTGTTTAAATGTGCTCAATTTACAAATGTGTGCTCATTTTATTATCTCTGTCTATCAGCATTATGTTTTTATTACATACGATAGTGTGTATTATAAAGTTATACACCTTTTTTCCTTTCCCCTTTTCAAATAAGGGTTTCGAAATATAGAGAGACATAACATTTGAAAATTGCCTCCATCATACCTCTCCACAATCCTCTCTTTTTCACAACCACCGCCCTATGTCTTCTCGTTAGCATCAATCGACAACTATATATAAAATCATTGAGCAAGGAAACGATCACAGAAGCCAGAAAACAAAAAATGACTAAAGAGAAACACACACCCTCCTCAAACCCTATTTTGAAAAGAAGAACAAATTAAGGAAAAAAAAATCCACAAAATCGCCCTCTGCTCTGATGGGTGAAAAGAAAAAATGCACAATGAAAATAAAAGAGAATCCTTAAAGAACATAATTTGAATTGTTATCAGACTTAGGACGTCCAACAACAGCTAGGAACATAATTTGGATATGTACCGCTCGCTTTTGCATTTTCTCAACGGTTCCTCCTCATTTGTTACTAAATAAAATTTTTGTCTCTTTACACATATAGAACCATTTTTCATCAATGTCTATTATATAATGCATGTCTACAAAGAGAATTTACTATTATGTAATGTACCGGGATTGATCATGGAGAGGCAGAAATGATTTCTTGAGCTTTTGTTTTCATCTTTGAGCAATGGTTTTATAGCATTAGAATGAGGCCTGATTTCCCCACCTTCCTTTTGTGCACACGTGATAGAGATGCATCCAATTCGTGCGCTAATGAACGAATTGTCGTACAACGTCTAAGAGGAATTTCTGTTATCCTTTCATATGAGAATTGAACTCTTTTTCTACCCCTATTTCATGGACATTTTATGGTACTGGGATTATTCTCTAGATGAAGCTTCGCATTTCGCCAAATTTTATAAACTGTCTTCACACATAAATTGAATGCGACCGCAACTTTTTCATAACTGCGTTTATTTACATTACCTTGTTGCATCTCAGCTAAAACCATAGTGGTTATAAAATTTTTAACGTCATCAGCAATATTTTTCTTCTTATTTCCTTTTTTCTATTCCCTGAAACAACATTTTGGAATTGACTACTGTCAGCAACAACCACAATACCTTTTTGGTCTTCAAGTAAGTAGTTCTAGTTTGGCAGTTGAAAAGTAGCGGTGTATCTTTATAATGTGTGCTCGAATCTATTAGGATGTCAATGAGATAAAAATAAAAATGATGGATTCTTAAGGTATGAAAAATTATTGCCCTTATTTCCGGAAACTCTGTGAATGTAATTACATGTTCTAAGTTTGGTTGAAATTTATATGAAGCTATATTGTAGAAGTTGAGGAGATTATTGGTCGAACCAAAAATTTTGGCTCTAAATTTTCGCTCAATTTGGGTGCATATTTTTTAAAACTCTCAATACCTAATATAAATGCGGGAAAATCAAAATTTTGAATTGTAAAAATTAAATTTAAAAATTTTGAATTCTCAAAATTATTACAGCATTTCCTTAAATATTTCCTCCATTTCAGACATTAATTCTCGAATAAATGTACTCTTGGGACTCTCTCTTTGTGAGTTGACTCCATCAAAACTAAAAAAGCAATTAATGCAAATTAGTGGTATATTAGGTAGAAAATGGAAAAAATATTCAGTTTAACTACCACTTAAATTTCTGTGCATTTTCTGTTTTCTCTAAATAAAGAAAACACAAGGAGTACTGGATTGCTCTCTTTATTGTAATTAGAAATTCTAAAAATACTTTATCTGTCCTAAAATATAAGTCGTTTTTGGTTTGTTATTTTGTCTCAAAATATAAGTTGCTTTGTGTATTTCAAGAAATAATAAATGAGGTTTTTTTTTTTCAATATTACCCTTGTTTACACTAAATACAATAAATACTTCAAAGCAATTATTGATTTTGAGATAAAAGATAATTTGATCAAGTTTTCATTGAGTTTGTTATAATTTAAAAGAATTAACCGCTTCTCTAATCATTATCCAAAAACCTTAAATGACTAATAAATATATTATTCTTAAAAAGGAAATTGTCTGAGGCGGATAAAAATAAGTAAACCTATTATTATGAACATTATAAAAACTAAAATTAAAATCAATTACTCGGGTTTTTTATTAGCCATATTATTTTTTTTAATATTTATAAATAAATTAAACCTAATTTTAACTTTTTATTATAAA